AATTAATTTTAATCCCGGCGCATTCGCCATTTATGCAAGTAATTGTGAAATTTTCATATAATATATATACATATTATGTATTTGGCTAAAGACGCACTTTTTATAATTTCTAATAAAGGTATATTTTATTGAATTAAATTGCACAAAGAAAGCTGAAGACAAAGCCCAAAGAAGGTAATACCAGAAACCACGATTATCGTGGACAAAGATATAAAATTTTATTTCGTCGAATACCCCTTTTACAGCGTTATTTGAAAATAGTTTGTGTAGAAAAATCGAACTGAAATACATATTGTTCAGTGGTAAAATTAAGGTTTTTTTGAACACAAATTGATGCACAAATATTTTTTTTTAATTTGAAAGGGCAATACAGAAAGTTTGATGATGGATTTTCATTAAGGACTTTAATTAAAAATTTTTGTATCACTGCACATTTTCAATTATGTACTTTATCTTCCACACACCAAATGGCTTAATAAACTTTTTTATGTAAAAAAGTTATTTAAATTTTAATGCATCGAGAAATATTGTATTATTGTATAATCATAATTAAAATAATCTGCTTTAAACAGTTTGCAATAACTTTAATATCAACATTACATTTTTTAATTAAATACATACATAAACTTGGACAGATTTAGTTAAAATAATGTTTGATGTATCAAATGTTACAAACAGTTTTTAATTTAGGTCACTTTAATAAAAACAAAAATTGTATAGGTTTTATTTATTATAAAATAAATATAGGTATTAACTTTTTTAATTAAGTTTGAAATTGCTTCAATGCAAGTCAAAAGGTTTATATATAAAAGCTTAATGATTTTTCCTAAAGGATGTCAGGCGAACTAATATTGAAAATTCTTTAACCAAATATAAAACTATTAAGTTGATTAAAAATTTGAATATTGTTTTTAATTATACAATTTTGAACTAATTTCATAAAACTTTAGTACGACCGTAAATTTAAAAGTTTTAAACCACTTATAATATAACAAATTCCTCATTCTAAGTAGTTTATAATTTAATTATCCCAAATAAAAATTCTTATTTTTAATTTACTTTAACACAGCAAAACAACATCTAATTTTAATTGATATTTGTTATAAACTGTATTTTTTTAAATCATAAATAATACAGTTTTAAAATATATTTAAAATATATGTTTTCTGTAATATAATTATCTCAAATAAAATTTTTATGTTTAATTAACTTTAAAACAACAAAACGTTTTCTAAATAATCTAATTAGTACTGTTTCGAAAATTAAGCGAATTCCTATTTGTATACAAGCATTTTCTTTATACTTTATTACCTTTAATTTAATCACTTAGCGTTTTAAAAAGCACAAAGGAATATAAATGAAAAAATTAAAAACATTTTTCACTCAAAAGTTTTATTGGGTTTTGTGTTTTTAAATTATTAGGAGAATACGTCAATCTTAAGCTTACAATAAACGTGTTATAATTGTTTTTTCTATTGAGATAAAATAAGGCTAGTTGCGGTAAAATACATTTTTCTAGTGTTTCCTTAAGATTGATTTTTTATCGCCTTTTTTGTGGTCTTGCAATTTTATTGTTAAGTCAGTGTGATTGACCGTCTTTTCTATAAAGCCTTTTCAAGTCATGTCGAGGTTAAATTTATTTAAAAAGGAAAGGAAATAAAATATGTTTTCTTATTTTTCTTTAATGTACAGGGTGAACCAAGTATCCTTCTATGTATGGGTATCTTTTTTATTTGAAGATATACAAGGTCGGTTGAATTATACAAAAGCCTAATAAATTGGCGTTTAAAAATTGGAAAAAAAAATTCTGCGGTTCTCAAATAATTTGAAGAAAACTTCGTTATAACTTCGTTACTAAACTAAATGGCGATTTTTTAAACTCTTATATAATTTGACAACTCTTATATAACCTTTATATAATTTATCGTTAAAATAAGTAGTACACATTGTTTATTGGGCGCCAGCCTTTTTTGCAATTTATACGTTTCTTGTATAATAGTTGTAATCACGCAACTTTTTTCTAATTTAACTGACCTTGTAGCTCTTTAAATAAAAAAACTGTATTCATAGAATTTTTGACCAAATGTACAAAGAGTTTGTAATTAATTTGATTGAATATTCCTCATATAGAGATTGATTACATATTGAAATTCGCTTATTGCATCGTATCGGTAGATAATTTTGCAATTAATTTTCTGTTCATTCAAAGCAAACAACGCCTCTTTTGTTATAATGGGAAACCCTAATTCTGTGATTTGATGGATATTCCTATAACAAATTATTGAATTAAGTAATTAGTTTTATTTAATCCGACATTGCGTCAGGATTTTGAGAACATGAAATTTTAACTTGGAAAGAAAAACAAACAATATTTAAATATAGTATTTTTTTGCAAATGTATAGTATGTTTTCTTAGATTGTATAATTATATAAAAACCATAAAAAAATTTTAAAACTTTGAACTAATACCTAAAAAATACATTACCTTTTTTTAACAGGTCTAGCGCAAGCAAAGTTTTATTAATACTAAATCTTTTTTTAAAACTTATCAAAACTTTTACATGGCAATTTAATTTCATAAACTTTTATAAATTACAAATTTTACTAAACAAATTACTCCAACGGTTTAAACACAAATAATAAACCATATTACACAATCTATTTCGTTGCTATCAAAATTGAGTACACATACATTTAATACATACATTAACATACATACATGTTTTATTTATTACATTATAAAAGTTTTACAGTGTAAGTTATATACGCGGCAAATTGATCCTTTTGAATATCCTTAGGGAGTCGTTTATCATGGGATATTGAATTTTATTATGGCATAAATTATTGTATGTAAATGGGCCCATACAAATCTCACACACAATTTTTTTTAAATAAATATAACATAAAAAGTAGTTTGTCTTAATAAAGTAAAGATCCCTATTATTTATCTAAAACGCTGCTTTCAGTAATAGCTTTTGCATTAATTATGAAGTAAATTTACGTTATGTTTATAAATATAACACTTTTCCAGATGCAGAAACGCATTGATAAATATAGTTATTATTATTTGTCCAAAAAACAGTTCTATACCGTTTACAAAAACGTTTTATAGTATTAATGAAACCGTAATGGTATTATTCATAGAAATTTTGTAAAATTTACAAATCCCTTTTCTTTTAAAATAAAACTTTTTTTATAATATTAATAAAATTTATGTAAATTTAACAACAAATTAATTGTTAATTCAATAAACCATTTTCATTGTAGCAATGGTCACATTTTCAACCTACTGTTGGGTGTTGGGTAGTTTTTATAAATAATTGCAAGGCATTAAAACAAATTATTTATTATAACAAAAAAATTAACTTATATTATATGATGTACAAAATAAAAAACATATGAACTCACTTTTTAAACAACAAGTCTGCTTCGTTTATAGAATATTTCTTTAAGAAAAAGTCGAAATTTTAATTTTCTTAGTGATCTTTTTGATATTTTTATCATGCTAGATTTTACCACACTTCACTTGCACAAGTGAAATCAATAAGATTATCAATAAGATTATAACACAGACTGTGGATTATCAAGTTATGTCTATCTTTTTAAGGGAAATAACAAAAATTTTGTTATCATTGTAAAACAATAGTAAATATTAAAAAATTCTTTCTATAGCAATAAAATATTTTTGTTATTTTTCTTAACGTAAGCTATTAACAAAGATTTTCTAATTGAAATAAAATTAATTTGAATTACCACGATAGTAATTTAAAAAGACAAATATGCCATAGTAAAATTAACAAACTTTATTATAACAACTGCGCATTACTTTATGTAAGCGCAATTCACACACAACTATATATTTAACAAAAACATTTTAAGTTCGACAAAGATTTAATATAAACATAAAGTATTTCTTATTGCCATGACAATATGATAAAAAGTATTACTTTGTTGGATAAACATTTTTATAATATAAGTTTATTCTGTAAATAAAAATAAACTCATACTATACTTTGACAAATCGTAGGTTTTTGTCCCAATAAGACACAGGAAATTTAATAAAAAAGGTACCTTAGGTGGTACATTTTTTTATTTTAAATTTAATTTAAATAATATTATTTTATTAATCGCTTACAAAATTAGTTTCATTATAAGTGCATGTACATTTTTCTGAGTGCAGAGCACAGACATATTAAGATTATAAGCCTAGAAAAAGTACCGTTCTGCTTATGTAAAAATTGTGTTGGCAACTCTTTGGTAAACCCAAATAAATTTAGAGTTTATTCAATGTAAACTTTTCCTAATAAATAGCTTTTCTTGCTTGTACCCTTTTATATTCGAATGAAATATATCTGAAATAATTTTAAGCTTAATCCTAAACTTCTTTCTCGGGAGACTTTTAAAGGATAAGTTAGCCAACGTGAACAAAAAAGTTTTTTGTGTTTTTATATTTAAACCTATTGCACTTTTATTTCTTGATTTTCACTGTGTTTGCGGAGTAGAAATAATGTTCTTTATGAGAACGTCTACTAAACTTCAATTTAAAATGTTGAATAGTAAAACTTTTTCTTTATTTTATATTTTAAATTTTTAAGAAATTCCACAAAAAACTTCAAATTTCATAGGTAGATAGAAAAAAACTGTAAAAATAAAATGTATACCAAAATATTTAATAAAGAAACGCCGTTTTTGCAATCTCTATTATTATGTACAATTTTACTTATATTAGTTACCTAAATGATATGCATTATTATTAAATCACAATAACCATATTGACGCTAAAACGCCTTAACAAAACTTAGACAATAAGAGAAATATTATTGTTTTTATATTTTTTTAAGATTTTATTTTTTTAAATTGTATAAGCCCTTAATGCTATAAAATCATATCTCTTATCATCCCATTTTTGTTAAGAAGTTTTAGCGTTAATCAAAAATAAAATTGGGTTTTTACATTTTATTATAGAAAACTTTGATTCCAATTCTCGATTTTTTTTTTAGATCTGTGATTTCGGTTTGGCGCGAGTTGCTGATCCAGAGCACGATCACACGGGATTCCTGACGGAATATGTGGCAACACGGTGGTACCGAGCACCCGAGATCATGTTGAACTCAAAAGGTAAAACAATTTAAAATTGCGGCAAAACCTTTTAGGAGGACAAAAACACAATTTAAAAGTTTTAAAAACACATTCTAGATTGGTAAAACAAAAAGAATGACAATACTTACTTAAGAAAGTCACAGTTTAGGATGTTAAACACATATTTTAGAATGTTAATAGATATACGAGAGTTATTTTAGAATTTTAAAATCTTATACTGTATCTTAATCATATAGTAGGTAATCTAAAACACTTTTTTTAGAATTTTGGCCAAAAATGACAAAAACACAACTTTTTTAAACATATATTTTTGAATGTTAAAACCTTAAGAGTAGCAATATTTATTAAAAAAGCATTTGCGTTTAAAAATCTTGTTTCGTTAATGTTTAAAATATTGTAAATATTTTTTTACGTATTGGATTAAAAAATGGTATTCGGTTTTTTAGTACTTAAATACCTAATATCATAAGAAAACTTACTAGAGGACTATTGTACTTTTTAGGAATTAAACTGACCATAACGTTTTTCCTGTGTAATCTTTGGCTTTTTAATTAAAACTATTTTAACGTTCTTTATCCAACAAAAAAGAACTTATGTCAAAATCCGTTTTTGAGATATTTGTATTTTTAGAGTTTGATAAAACATATTTTTTACAATGATTAAATATTGTAATATTTTAAAAATTTAAATATAAACATAGGTCGTGAAACACAGATATAAATAAGTAATTAGTTTTATTTATTCCGACATCACGTCAGGATTTTGAGAAAACAACACAATATGTCATAATATGTTATTATTTATTTAGGTTACACCAAGTCCATAGACATTTGGTCAGTGGGTTGCATTTTGGCAGAAATGCTGGCCAACAGGCCCATTTTCCCAGGCAAACATTATTTGGATCAGTTGAATCACATATTAGGGGTGTTAGGGTCACCTTCAGCTGACGATCTCAATTGTATTATAAATGAAAAGGTGAGTTTTTACTTTCATTGATTTTTTTCCTTTTGAAAATACTGTTAATGTTTTAAAACTACCGCATCAAATAAAATTACATTAAAGACTTGGTTATAATGCAAACTGTTGTAATGTGTTAATTTGTAGGCTCGCAGCTATCTTCAGTCTCTGCCGTTTAGGCCGAAAGTGCCGTGGGTAAAACTGTATCCGAACGCAGACCCCAAAGCGCTTGATCTTTTGGACAAAATGCTTACGTTCAATCCGCATAAGAGAATTGAGGTTGAACAAGCCCTTGCACATCCCTATCTCGAGCAATATTACGATCCTGCAGATGAGGTAACTATCTATCTGTATTTTTTTATGAATTTTTCTATTTTATTAACCATAGTTGGAAAACATTTTTCCGGTAAAATTCCACTTATTTAGAGGGACCTTTTAACTTTTCAAAGTGATTTGTTTTATTCTAAGAATTTTACTTAAAAAATGCATTTTTCTATTAACATTAGTAACTAAGAAAATGTTTATTTTTCTTGGTCACACAAAAAATATAATATATGTAATTTAAATTTTTTTTGTATCCTTAATGGAAAACAGCCATTTAATTAGCTAGAATTCAATAAAGAAATGTTTTATTTTACTAATTAGCAACACTTTAAGGCCCGGTTTTACAATCGAATGTTAAATGTGCTGATTAACTAATTTAAAATTAATTATCAACCACGAATTAATTATGAATTAAAAAGTTATGCGTATTTCAATCTGTTTTTGTCTTATGATTTGTTAACATGAATTTTCTTTAAAACTATTTAGGTTGGTATTACTATTGATTATATTAGTTAAGTTTAATTCTCGTTCCCGGCTAATGCTTTCTCTCTTGTAAAAGTGTTGTTAAAAGAAGATAGAGCCATACTTGATTGTGTAATATTGGTTATTCATCACTGAGCGTCATTTTGACAGATGACAATTCCATATTTTCGTTATTTCGTTTTAAACCGGTGTTTATTTGTAAAAATTCTTTTTAAAAAACGTAAGTAAATTTGAAATAATACCAATATTAATAATAAATACAATAATTAATTATGAAGAATAATAACCCAAAAAGAAATGCAAATTTTTCTTCTTTTGAAGAACTTCTTTTGGTAAAACTGGTAGAAAAATATAAAAATATTGTTGAATGCAAAACGACTGGCAGTATTACTATTATTATTATAGTTGTTTATATTTGTAGTTTGGAAGTACAAGTTCCATTTTCATAATGTAAAAATAAACCGCCGATATATTAAATTTTTGTTATTATAGAAATAAAATGTTTATTTTCAAAAAAATTTCTTTATTTTATAATTATTTAAATAAAAAATCACAAGAATTAATTTGACTTTTTAAAAAATAATACAAAAGCTTAGCAATAAGAATTTTAATATTAGCAGCCATAACTAAAAAACAAGTTTACAAGATTGTAACAAAAAAGACTGAATTTAGTTAAGTCTAGCAAAATATTCATTAATTAATCATTACCTAGTTTGATTATTTAATAAATAATTTATACCACCAGCTTCATCTAAATTCTCTGCTTGAACATTGTTTGCCAATTCTATAGCAATTTCTTGGTCTTCATTTACATAAGGAACTGGTTCATTTTCCTCACAGGCAATATTATGTAGGACTGCCTTTGCAACTATTACTGCCTGTACAGTGTTAAGATTCAATCTTAAACTCATTGCCAAGGCAGGAAATCTTCGTTTCCAAACTCCATAGCTTCGTTCAACAGTGTTTCTTGTTCGTATTAAAGACTCGTTATATAAATTTTCTGCTGGATTTTTTACATGTAATAGTGGTGTGAGCAAATAGGGTTTTACTGGATAACCACTATCACCTAAAAGGTGGCAATTACCAAAATTTCCCATCTCCATTAAAGCACATAATCTAAATCGTGAAAAAAAAATCTTTTTCATCCCACTCTTCAAAATGATTAGGCCTATGCCGAATTTCTTTGGGCCTTCTAGGTTCCTCATCGCTGCTATATGCATTAACGTCATAATCCGTTTTTTATTTAAATAAACTTTTTTATTACAAAGGTAGGTATTTGATTTTGCCTTTATTTTTAACTATAGTTGTTTATAAACATTTATGACATTTAAATATTTGGTTATGAAGTTAACGTCGATTTTCGTGTTAATCACTACTTCAGGTACTGATTAACTTAATTTGACTTTAACATGCAGTTTTGCTGCTAATATTAGATTGAAATACGGTTAATAAAATTAACTTCAAATTAATTTCTGATTAACATTTAACATTTGATTGTAAAACCGGGCCTAAAAGTTATAAACACTTTAATAGTTAGCAACACAACACTTTTGACTTTTTAGGTTCATATCCTTCATTCTGTTTTTTCAAAAATGCAATTAATTGCTGGTATTTTGAAATGTCACTGCCTTCATATATTTGCAACGCACTCTTCAGCATCGAATATGTTGACCACAGTGACGATGCCTTCAGATTTTTGGACTAAAAATACAAGAAAAAATTGGAAAATTTATTTTTTAAAAGCATTAGCTTCTTACCTTTCCCAAAAACAACCGCTAGCATAACATTTTCCAGCTCGTGAAAAAACTCTCACTTTTCTTTACTTGTAGAACAATCTACTATTATTGTAACATTTACTGTTTTAACATAAAAAATCAAAAATCTTAGTACAAATTATACAATATCTTTTTTTGTTTTTGATATTTTATAGATTTACATACATTTCATCTAAAATTCTTTAAAATTTATTTATTTATTATTTTAATTTTAAAATTAATAATATATTTTTTTATTTTGGAAATTGTATAGAATTTTAAAATCATAGTTCGGTGGGTCAACACAAATATTTAAATTTAAATAAATTTTAGATAATAAGCTTATTATCTAAAATTTATTTAAATTTAAATATTTGTGTTGACCCACCAAACTATGATTTTAAAATTCTATACAATTTCCAAAATAAAAAACTATATTATTAATTTTAAAATTACAGTATTTCTCTAGTATTTCTCGTAAAAAAAAGTATAGTATACTTATTTATAAATTTTGACACATACGTCAGATTTTATGAATTTTCAAATAGTTTCCTTTAATTCGAGAAATAATCTAGACGTATATCACTCAACCTATAAATTTAATCTGTAAGTTTTTTATTTGATTTTTCTTTTTGGAAAATAGTTTCATGCAAAATAATTAAAAATAAAACCCCTCGACCGCTACGCGGTCTCGTGATTTTATTAAATTATTTTGCATTCAACATTTTCCAACAAAAACCAAACAAAAAACTACTGAGCCTAGTTTAACCGATTAAATTCATAGTTCTCGTGATATAATATATGAATATAATAATTATAATTTTATTTTAATACAGTAAAATTCTATTATTTTTTCTACCGGGCCGCAAAAAGAACATATTAGGTGCTGTATTAACATAAATTTTGTTTTATTTGACAATTCAATTTATAAAATTATAATTTTGTAATTTAACTTTAATTCATTATTTTGTAATTGTATATTTTCGATGGACTTCTTTTTGCAAAAAAGACCGTTTACTTTTATTTTTTTATATCAATTTAATTCAATTCAATTTAGTTTTTTCCTGTAATAAACGATTTTTTTTAAATTAAAATAATGTTAAGATCTTGTTTGCAACATTTTCTAAAATTATTCAATAAACGAAAAAAAACAGTTTTTCCCCAATTTTTCCTGTTTTTCGACATTTTAAAACCCTAATTTAGACACATTTAAGAATCTTAAAAAAAAAACCATAATTATTTAAGAAAGTCAAATCCAAATTTAAGAATGCGAAGATGGGTTATTTTTAAATGAATAAATTATGGACATTTTTAAAAAAAATTACCACGCGAATTTGTCCATTTTTAATGTATGCCTCTGTGCAAATTTTAATTTAACTATGTCAAACAATAATTCTAGAATGTTAAAACCAAAAAAAAAATAACAGAATGTTAAAATTATATTAAAAATGTAAAACGCAAATTTTAAAAAGACTATTCCACTCTATGGACCAATCAGATTTTAGAAAACGAGTGTTTTTTAGTTTTGCAGCGATAAAACTACTATTTAGATGAAAAAAACACTAATATTTATCGTGGCATTAATTTAAAACCACTCGCCTAGCGGCTCGTGGTCTTAAAGATTAATGCCACTTCCGAAATTTCCAACAAAAATAAAAAATCATCGGTAAAATTTTAACTAGTGGTATTATATACGATAAATCAACTAAATATTCCCCAATTTTTGTAAGTAGGAAAAACGATAAAATTAATGAAGAAAAATATCAATTTTATTTAATTAATTAAATTTAAAAAAATGTCATTAAAAATTCAACCCACTTTGCTATTTTTTTCACTAATCTTTAATTTTAAACTTTTTTCCTAGATATTTTTTTAATTTATGTACTGTGCGAATTATATAACTTTAAAAATGTGCTACAATAAAGATAACAACATGTACTGCTTCGTTTTTAGCCTGTTGCGGAAACCCCCTTCCGTTTCGACACGGAACTAGACGACCTGCCCAAAGACACATTGAAAAGGCTAATTTTCGAAGAGACCCTTCTCTACAAACAAAGGCAACAGGATTCGCACACGATGAGTTCGTCATAACCAAACACTGAGATCAAAGTTTAATTGTATTATTACTCCCATTGATATTTTCCCAGTCGATAAATTGTAAGTTTATCTTTTAATCAAAGTATTGAGTATAATACACTGAGATTTTTTTGTTTCTTAGTGTTTTTATGCCAACAAAATTTTATGGTTTGGGCTAAAGTTAGTTTTCTGTGCTATTACTACCTATTTTTCTTTAGGATTTATAGGTAGTGTTTTGGTTAACATTTAGGTAAATAAAAACAAGTTTATCAAGGTTAAAATTACTGGCTAATTTATTAAACTAGCCCCTTATTATTATTCTTAAAAAAACTTAGTTCTTCAGAAAATCGTATTATTTATTGCATTGTATATATTATTTAAACAAGTAATAGAATACAATAGAGGTAGATGTTAAAATTAAACAAAAAAAAATACGATAAAAATCAGATATCTATTTTTGAAATATTAGTTTTTGTAAGTAAAAATATGGTTGTGTCAAAATGCACTACACATTATTATATGACTAATAAGTGGGATTTAATTTTCACGCGATCTTGTAGATTTTTTTTATAGTTGTTATTTTTTTGATTGCGTTGAAGTTAAATTTTGATGTATTTTTTGTGCCATTCCAGATATACCATCTAACTTTCCTCCTATCATCTTTTTTCTATAGCAGTCACTTATGTCTACAAAATGCACTTTTAGGTTTTTTAGACAGCACAAATGTTGTGCTATTTTTTTCAGTATGTATGTAATGTATTATAATGGCAAACATTTTATTCCGAATCCATAATTCTCAATCTTAACATATGTTTATTAAAAATATTTATAAAATCATTAAAAACAATTTTAAAATGGCCAAAAATATTTGTTGTGTTTTTTTATTGAATCTTGTATAACTTGAAATACTTGAAATTCCATTCTAAAAACTAAATTTAAAATTGTTTGCTATGTTTTTTGGGTTTTGGTATAATTTTGTTAAAAACTTATAAACTATATATTAAATAATTAATTGTTTCGACTTTTACTTGATGAAACTCCATGTTAATATTGTTTTATTTTAATATAAACTACACTGTTTAAAAGTTTCACTATTTTATTTAAATATGACAATTGTTTCGCTACTGAAGATGCTACTGTGTAGCAAAACAATTGTCATATTTAAATAAAATAGTGAAACTTTTAAACAGTGTAGTTTATATTAAAATAAAACAATATATATTAAATATTTCATTCTAAATTCATATTTCTAAATTTTAACAAATTTGTATACAGAATATTTGTTAAATCATTGAAATCAATATACATTAAAAAAAGTTGATTTTAACCTATAAAACCTCTCAAACAGAAAAATAGACAAACATCTTTTTTCTATTGCAGGGGCCTTTTGTCTAACAAATGCATTTTTGTATTTTTAGAATCGTAAAACTTTAAAATATTCTAAACATTCTAAAAAATAATTTAAATTTTTTTTCTATTTTTTTAACTTAATTAAAAAAGTATGTATTTTTTGGTTTTTAGATAGAATTTTGTTTTAACAAATTTTTATATAGAATATTTATTAAATTATTCAAATCAATTTAAAATTTAAAATAAGTTCTATTTAAAAAACCTCTTAAACAGAAAAATATACAAAAATCTTTTTTCCATAGCCAAGTCAACTTTTGTTTTAAAAAATGATTTTTTATGTTTTTAGATTAAATTTTGTTTAAAAACCTCGAAAATACTTAAAAATATTTAAAATCTCATTATAAAAATAATTCATAATTGTGTGCTATACTTTCAACTTCGTTTTTAGATTTAATTTTGTTAAAAACATCCTAAATGTCATAAATTTAATTTTAAATCCAAAATTTTTTGCACAAACAAAAATAATTTTAATTTTTTTACTAGAAATTTAAAAAATCAAACAAAAAAATGTATGGATTTTGTACATTTTTATAGTTTTTTTATCCATTTGTCTAAAAAAAGGATTTTTAAATGAAAATCATAAAACAGCGATTTTTATATATTTTGGATAAAATTTGTTCAAATTTAGAATTATAAAGTTTTTAGCATTTTAATATATTTTCGAACGTTTTTAAATAGATTTTTTTTAAATAATCCTGTAAGAGCATACAAAATATACGAAAAACCCATTTTTAAGCAAAATTTTCTCTTTAAAGTCTTAAAAAATCATATTTTATAATGTTTGTACCTTCTGTTTTTCATTATGTGCATTTTTTCTATACAAGTATTATTTTTCACCAAAACATGTCTTATTTAATTTTGTTTGGGTATGTTTTAAATCTTACTTTTTTCGAATAATTTGTATATTTGTAAATACATTTTAAACATTTTCTGTTATTTATTAAAATTAAAATCATGTATTAATCACGCACAAAAATATCAAAAAAATATATATAAATTATTACTTATTCAGCACTTTCATCTAAATAGTTTGTAATAATTAATTATAGTTATGAAATATAATATTTTGTCTGTGATTTCACATTTTCATTTACATATTAAATAATTAATTAATAAATACAAGAAAAACATTGTACCTATCCTTATAAGTAGTTTTAGATAATTTTAAAGTCGGTGTATCTTCACGAATGTCGATTGCGTTCAAAATATAAAAACATAAAAAATGGATTTGTCTGGTTTTGAACGCAAACGGCCTATAATTATTACCAGGAATTCATTCTTAATGTGATGTATTTGTTATTAGTATACATTTGATATTGTATAAGCTGTTAAATTTGTCTATTTAAAGACATTTTTGGGGTTCAAAATTTATTACATTGTGTTTTTACTTAATTTAAAGGAAAAGGGCTGTTTTCAAGCGACTGCGCCATTTTCTTATAAATACTTGGTGTTTTTACAAACATTTTTTAGTTTTAAGTTTCTGAGAACTAAAAAATGTACAATTCATTGAAAACGCCTTTAAAACTTATTTATTTCTAAAGTTGAAAATAACTTGTTTACACAAGAATAGAAAAATTCTTCCACAAAAACTGCAAGTGAATGGTATTTAATATAGTGGAATCGAGTGAAGTAAAATAGTACAAACCAATGAAAAAAATAACATCAAAATAACTGTTAAACAGCTCTGGTAACAATATTTTTCTACTGAAGAAAAAGTAATATCAATGCAAATTGTATAGTATTTTTAAAAAAGGTGGTAAGAATGATTTTTTGGAAGAGTGGTTGTTAAATATGGCCTAATAAAACATTTTTTTCTTTCTATAAATGTTATTAATATTAATAAAATAAACTGTTATAATGTTACATTCTTAACTTAGTCGTCGATTATTATGTAATTCTTATATAAGTGTACAATAAATATTACCTGATATAAAAAAAAATGTTTTATTTCCTTTATTTTTACTTTTTAAATATACAAAAACCTGCAGTGATATCTTAAAAATTGGTTCACTCTAATTACTACTAATAAAAACAAACAAAAATATTCTAAAAAAATGGAACTAAATTTTCTTTTGATTAATAGTTTTTTAGTGGTGGAGAAAATTGCAACCACATTTTTATTTGAATGTGCGTATTTTTTTTATTTTTTAAGCAGGTTAATAAAAATTATAGGTACTTTTAAATCATTTATTTACAAATCATAATCAGACAAATTATGTATACAACAAGTAAATATAAATATATAACTTTTGATCTCTATTTAAGCTTGGCTTAATATACATACCAAGGGTTTCTAAATTGTTTATTTTAATGGAATGTTAGGAATCGTAAAAAATAATTACATCTACAGTTAATATTTTTTTTGTGCAGACATTTAACATGAGCACAGTTATACAGAAGTTTCGGGTGGTATAATAAAGTCAAATTTAGGTTTCTTATTTTTAAATATAAAACCTAAAACGTTTATTATTAAAAGTTATAAATTGCTAAAACGTTTTCCTTTAAACTACTAAGCAGTTTTGTTATAAAGTTTTACACAATATTTTCTACAGGGTGGACTAAATTAACAGAATCTTTCTTTATTCCTATAGCTCTTGTAGTGAAAAAGATTCAAATTTGGCTATAATATTAGAATAGAGGTTCTGATAATTTGCAATACCCTGTGTATAATAATATTTGTATAAATAGGTAAAGGTACAAATACAAGAAGAATGAAATCACATTAGAGGCACTACCTTGTAGATCACATATGATATGCTTAAAAAACTAACGTTATGGACAATTTTATTAATTACTTGTGTGGAAGATAAAAATTAATTAGGTAGATAATTATTAATATTAATAATACTGGTCATAAGAAAATTTCAAACATTTCAATATGTTAATTAAAAGATATGGTAGTTCAATTAGTCAGTATGTGTGACGAGAAATACTCAAATTTTGCTTTAAGATATTATTTTAGACACTTTTTTCTTACAAGTGGTTATAGTCAGTATCACATATACTTACTACTAAATGATATATTTTTAAAACATGTTACTTTACTTTTTTAACGGGAAGTAGTTTGGGAAAGCCGGGAAAGACAATTGCTATACAATAATTGACTTATTTTGTAACTAGTCGTATACCCGCAGTGATGCTCCCGTGCTTCTAAAAATGTAAGCAACCAAGATTACGCCTGGATTTAATAGGTACTGGTTGCGATATGAGTTTTGTTTACCAATTTTGCAATTATTTACAGGAAAAGTGCATTTTCCGGGATAAAAATCAGAATATGACTCTCCGGTCCATAAACTATTTTTTTTTGCAAAAAAATCACGTTGCTCCATTGCTGTGTAAAAGAAGAAAAAACAAACAAACACTTTCGCATTCTTACTGTATTTTAACTAAAGATGGGAATTGGAAAGTTTCCATTTTGGAAAGTTTCCAGGAATTTATTTTCATTTTGAAAGTTTCTTTTAAATTTACCGGAAACTTTCCCTGTTTTTTTATGTAAAGAAACTAAAAAAGAAGAAGTTAATTTAAAGAAGAAGTTTGTTGAAGATCTCATCTTAACAATTCATAAATCGTTTGAAAAAACCCTTTGCATAAAAGCCTTTTAAAAGGTAAACAAAATAAGAACAATAAACAAAGTTAAAATTATTCTAACGTTTTTGTTGTTTATTTATGGGTGAATCTCACGAAATGTCCCCCGATGGTGTTACCCCGTGATATTTAATAAAACCAAATGAGTTTGACCTACACTTTTATTGTGTTTTGATCTTTCATAATTAAGTAGATATTACAGCTCAGGTTCCAGATTTTTAACCGCAATTAATTATTTTATACAATGTTTTAAAAGTCTAAAACCTATCATCCGTGAATGTTACTATTTCTAGGTTAACCTATATCTTTTATATCTGAGGTAGTAAAAGCATAGGTACTAAAAATATCAGTCACTTAGTAAATTAAACACATCCAAAGCAAAGCAAAATTTTATTAAAAATTAAAATAAATAATTTATGTAGGTGTTACAAAAATTGATTCTATCCTCCGTGAATCTGTTTGATTAAAATTTTATGCAACGGATGGCGCTTTAATCGTTTTAACTAAGCAATAACCTCTTTTTACGACATTATATATCTATAGATGCATGTGATTCCTGAAGGTCAGTTAGAATTTATATGCAGATTAGAGTATTGCTGTTTTATAATTCAAAAGTTTAAGTTCATTAATTTGCTATTTAAAAACCTATTCACCGTGAAGTGTAATATCTAAGTATGTATATTTTTTTTATAAATATTTATAAATATGTACAATTGTATTTTTTAAAATATTAAGGTGTCAAAAGATACAATAACTTATTTCAAATATACAAAGGGATATTAAAAAAACATACGAAATCCTAACCTCCGTGAAGCTCTAATATTCAAAATGTATGATTTCTTAAAATTCTTGCATTAGTGCAGAACCACTTATGTTATGTTATTACTAGACCTGGTGGCTTCCCAAAAACCCCATTCTAGACTAACAGTGAAACAACCAAAAATAAAAAATAATCATTTTCACTTGGGGGACATCTCAATATATTCACCCTTATAGGTACAGTACAATGCCAAGAGAAAAATCTTATATTTGGAATTATTACAAAATAGTGCAAAATGCAAGTTCTGTACAAAAATATGTCATTAATGCAACCAAAATTTTCAACCATATAAAAAAGTGTCTTCGCTACCCACAAGATAATATATTTTATTCTAGTTCTTGCCCCTTTAGTTTAGTCGAAAGTTTCAAGAAAGAAATTAAGTACAACCCTGAATATGCTAGAATCCAAAAAGTAATTGAAGATAAAGTACAAGAGGCTGATAATATGGCAATTCTTTCAGATGGTTTCAGAGCCTGTATTTTTAAAAACAATAGACTCAGGCCAGGGGCGTGCTGGCAGAATCAATGCAGGCCTGGACTGGATGGTAGAGCAGTCCAGGCCCAAGCCAATTTGGTTAAGGGTTAGCATAAAAGATACGTGTTTTAGATTTTTTTACGGGAGTAAATTAAAACTTTTTTTTTTTATATTTAGTGTTTAGTGATATAACTTTTTGTTTGGTATAAAAATCTTTTTTCTATTTGCATACCATAGCAAGTCCAGCAGACCACCATGGTAGCGCAGGCCACCGGGCATTCGGCCCGTTATTTTGCCTGTATTTTTTTTCATATTTTAATGGTCAGATATTCCTATATAGGTAGACGATATTATTAATTTTTGCAATCCTGGCACAAAAAACTCATTTTCGCAATAATTTTTTTCTTTTAAACTTTCGGAAAGTATCGGGAATTTTCGATGGAAAGGTTCAGGGAATTTTCGTCAAATGGGAATTTTCCCATCTCTAATTTTAACAGTACTTTAATATTTTGAAGTGTTTTTTTAATTTTCATTAGGAGATCTCCTGTTTCTTAAATTAAGACCTGCAGAATTGATGTTACCAAAAATGGATAAGAACGGGGCATTCTCATTTGCTTCCTCAATATCCCCATCGACATCTATGGTGACATCTTCCGTACTGCTGGTATTCGATACTGTTCTATCGTTCGGTATACTGTAACTTTTCCTGAAAACCGGCTTGCCCAGGATTTTATTCGCATCCAAGCCCAACATATCCAAAGTTTCCTTGGGGTTTTTGGTGACGAATTGGTAGATAACGTCGAGGTGGTCTTCGAGCGTTTGCGTGGATTTTTCCGTGTTGGGGACGGGGAGAGCGTGGTAGGGGGGAGTGGGATTCTCGTCCCAGCAGAACATTTCCGGCGGATGCGACGTGCTGCGAGCAAGGATGCCGTTGCTCATGTGGTGGTGGTGGATGTGCGCTATGTTGGGGTTAGAGAGTGTGTTGTAGTGCGCAGAACTGGTCGGTGTCGCCATCTCTTGCAAGGCTTGGATGGCGTTTCGAACCTACAACAAGTTTAAGATAATAATAATAATAATAATTTATTAATCCACAATTTATCACATCTACAGGACATAGGACAGGTCAGAAATTACACAAGTAAAGTAAAATTACAGATAAAAATAACCAAGTATGGACTAAAAGTAAAAACTACAATACAGATTAAAAATTTAAATCAGTACAATGAATATATTCTTCTACACTGTAAAAACAGTGTTTAGGTAGCAAGGTTTTTTGGTGTGCTTAAATTTACTTAGAGCTAGGTTTTTAAACTTCTTTGGTAGTTTGTTATATAAGTAAACACATTGATAATTTGGACATTTCTTAAATTTAGTTAAGTTATGCCTAGGAATTTCTAAAATATCACAGTTTCTATAGATACTATAGTATTGTAGGTGTGCTGTTCATTTAGGGATTTGAATTTATTAATATTTTTGTGTGTGTATAAAAGAATCTGTTGTATGTATATTAGGGTGGTCCATATTTTGAGAAATTTTGAATTTTTTTGCTCTCAGGGGTTTAAAGGGTTCGAAATAAATTAAAAAAAATATTTTCCAAGTTTCAAGTCCCTAACTTAATATTATCCCGTGCCGCATTGCAGTTTAAGTTTCCTATGTAAATAACATGGGATTTTCAGCATTGAATAATTAATTATTTATTCCGGCCAAAGCAACTGTCAAAAAAAATATGTTAGGTAAAAAATCATCTGATTAACATTACAGTTATCAGAGCTGGGAAAGTTACTTCTGAAAAGTATCTAGTTACTTTTCTAAGATACTTAAAAAAAAAACTTAGTTACCGGAGGTAACTAAGTTATTTTCTTTAAAGTATATACTTAGATACTTTGAGTTAAAAGTGTCTTTAGTTACAAGATACTTTAAAAAGTATCTAAGATACTTTTGAGTAACTAAGTTACTTTTAAGTATGAATAAAAACTATAAAATTATGAAAATTCAACAAGTTGTAGGTTAGGTAATTACTTTGAATCATTCTGGAATTCCCCCAATTTTCTCTAAGAAAGTTACACTGAAAAGTATCTAAGTTACTTTAAAAAGTATCTTAGTTACTTTAAAAAATATCTTAGTTACTTTAAAGTATACTTATCTAAGTTACTCGGTAAAGTACTAACTAAGATACATTCGAGTAACTTAGATATATCTAAGTTACTCGAATGTATCTTAGTTACTTTACCGAGTAACTTAGATTCTTTTTTAGATACAAGTTACAAGATACTTTTCCAAAGTAACTTAGTTAAAGATACTTTCTGTCCAATTTAAAAAGTATCTAAGATAATTATCTTAGATACTTTAAGTATCTAAGTTACTTTCAAGTTTCTTTTTTTTAAGATACTCCCAACACTGACAATTATATAAATAAATGTAACAGACATAGCAGAAATGAGTATATTTATTGCTATTGCTATGTTAAATATTTTGAACGGTAATTATGGTACAGTATGGTAATGTTGTTATATTACAATGTTACGTAATTGCTTATTGGTTAAATTGGAACAGTAACAATGTTACTATTATTTCAAGTAAGTAGGTTGCTTTTTAGTAACATGCATTGCTACACCGCAATGTGAGTCCTGGGTTACATAACAGCAATAATGTGTTAAGATAAATGTTGTTATTACGTTAAAGCATTTTACAAAAATTTCTATTAAAAACTATGAGTAACATATTAACCAGTTTTATTTAAGTTTGTCTTAATTTTAGCTTAAGCTCGTATCTGCAGCCTCGGCAGCGAACACTGAGCTCGAATATAATATAAGCACTTTCTCCGCCTGCTTGATTATGTACTATTTTAACAATTATACATAATACTGAAATTGAAGTACCTATACAAACACTTAAAATAGATTCATTGACCTAAATCAATTCTGTTAAGCATGGCAAAACGTTAACAATGCGTTAATGCTTTTGCTTGTCTGCAAAGTTCTAAAACAATTAAACCCAGAGAAGTTAAACCACAATCGAACAATAAGCCTTTGGAGTTGGATTAACAATAATTGTTTAAATATTACATACATACTGTTAGCTACTAGTCTTATTGATTTAATTAATACAAGGTGTCCCTAAACTTATTGGCAAATTTAAATTTAGGAAAAGATTGAGCAAGTCAAAATAAGACGAAAACCTAAATAAATATTTTTCCTAATTACTTATGTTTCCAAGATACAGGGTGATAAAGTGTTACCTATCATATCAGTTTTTTTAATATAACTTCTACTATGGTAGTCTTGGAAAGGTGATATTTTGCCAACAGTCACTTACTACCAAAACACATATTCACACATAATTACAATTGTTTGAGAGAACACAGTGTCGTAGAAACGGGAGTTGCTTTAAGCTTATTGTCCCATACAAACTTTGAGGTTAGGTTTTTACAACATTTGATCCATTATTTCGATTACACAGTTCGACTACCATTAAAAAGGTGTACCTCTCAAACTTGGATAAAATAAACCGTTTCCGAGATATTCGAGATTACAATAATTGTTATATCGCATTATTTAAAAGGATTAAAAGGTATATACTTATCAAATTTTATTTTTTAATTGAAAAAACTAAAAAGGGCATTCCATAAGCCTCGACACTTTTTGCCCTGACCTTCACTTAAAAAAAATTGTAGTTTTATCGAGTAAAAAATTTGTTATCATATACCTTTTAGTCCTTTAATGCGATATAACAATTATTGTAATCTCGAATATCTCGTAAACGGTTTATTTTATCGAAGTTTGAGAGGTACCTACACCTTTTTAATAGTAGCCGAACTGAGTAATTAAAAAATTGCATCAAAAGGTATAAAAACCTAACCTCAAAGTTTGGATGGGACAATAAGCTTAAGCCCCTGTTCTACGACACTGCGTTCACTCGAACAATTGTAATTATGTGTGAATATGTGTTTTGGTAGTAAGTGACTGTTCGCAAAATATCACCTTTCCAAATCTACCATAGTAGAAGTTATATTGAAAAACTGATATGATAAGTAAAACTTTATCACCCTGTATCTTTAGGAAAAATATTTATTTAGATTTTCGTCTTATTTTGACTTGCTTAATCTGCTCCTAAATTTATGCCACTAAGTTTAGGGACACCTTGTATATTATAATAATATATTTTGTTCTACAAGGACACCCCAGTTTTCAATGAAACCGATACGGAAAAACATGCAAACACAAAGGACGAAACGTTTATCTTTTAACAAATAATTTGATATCTTTAAATAGAGTAATTTCCCGATTTAATCCCGTCGTGGTAAATACGTTTTGTTATTTCAGCAATGGCCGTGAGACTATTTGTTATCCTTGAATATAATTAGTTCATACATACAATCACACATTGAAATGACAAATTTATATTGATTCAGATCGTGACTGGATTAGGGGTTTGGGATGTTTAATGTCTAAAAAGATTTATGTGTCATAACTTTTAACAAGGACATTTTCTACTTTGTATTTACAATTTCATTCAATATGTTAGTAGGGTAAGGTGGTGTAAATTGATCGGATTTTTGGTGCTACACGTATAGTATGTTTCTTACTTTTATTGTATTTTGATCATGATTGATAGCTATTTGTACCACCTAGAAACAGTTAAAAAGAGTAAACCAAATACAAAAAAAAAGATTCTATAGAACACCTAATTTCATTGTATTATTCAACTTACCTCCATGCTCAATGCCGCTACATCCTGATGTAGAGTTGATATTTGAGTGTCCAGTTTTTCAGCGCTGTGTCTCGGCACCTCTCCTTCGGTTATTTCCTCCTCCAAAGAGTTATTTTTGGGGAGAACCACACTCCTTTGTCTTTCTACGCGACCTCGTAACATCGCCAGGTGGTTTGTGGCCACACCACCCAGTCTCGGTCTACGCGCTGTGACTGAATCTTGAAATTCTTGCAATCTATGAAAGGTACTTTTATTTTTATTTTATTTTTCTAGTTTGTACGTCATCTACAGGGTGTCCTCACCTTGAAGGTGGTATGATCTACAGACCGCCAGAATTACCATAAAATTGTTAAAAAAATTCTACCTTCGTTATTTCAAAAGATACAGGAGATACATATTTTTTAAATGGCAACATTGCGTACTAATAAATTGGTAGATTCATTTAAAAATACTATATAGAGTGTTCTTGGATTTATGCTTAATTATTATCCCTGATAGCACACTTTATTCTAAGAATGTTTTTTCCAGTGAGAATATTCTTAGGATCATGCTATATTTTTTCTAAAGAACATGCTTAAAAGAAATATAGCATGATCCTAAGAATATTATTACTGGCCTATAGGCAGGTTCTTAGAAGGTGGTAAAAATTAGTCTATTCTAAACATATGAAACATATAAGAAAGTAATTGCTATAGAAAGTTCATTTAGGAATATTCCTGTTAAGCATATTTAGTTTAGTTACCTATATAATAGTAAACTATACCATAAACTACGTATACTTAAGTACCTAATTAGTAATTAGTATTAAATACTAGGTAAAAAACACAATCCAAAATATATTTTTATAGTTTTTTTGTCAAATTAAAACAATATTCGATAACAAAAATACTTTTACTATAGGTATTTTATTTTATGTTAAAAATAAATATTTATTAATTTGTATACCGATTTTTTATTTCTGAATTAACATTTTTATGTGTAATAATCCTAACTATCTTCAACTTCAATCTAATCTGACTTATCACACAAATTTTCTAATTTTACTTTTTATGAAATAATGTCGTACAACTTATGGTTTAGAGGTCAAAATGTTTATTTAATATTTTTAAATAAATATACATTAATATGTCGCAAAATTTTCTAAGGGGACGACAAATACATTATATAACAGTGATATATAATGTAACAGTGAGGCGTATTTGTCGTCTCCTGAAGAATTTTAAGAATGTAGAATACAACATGTAAGTACGTGGGTATCTCACATATTTGGGAATATTCTCAAAAGCTTCCTAGAAGCTCCATAAGAACCCTTCTAAGAACATTCCAAAAACGTATTCTTAAAATGTTCTTAGGATGCTTTTTACAAAGGTTTTAAGAAGCTTCTAAGAATCTAATTGCATCATTAAAATATCTATTGAATGTTTTAAAAGTCCCTAAGAACATTCTTAGCAACAAGGGAAGGTTCTAAGAATATTCCATTATTCCGGGTCATATCTTCTTAGAAGATTCTTAGAATCAAATTTTGCTATCAGGGTTAAAGTGCTAGGGGCAGCCATTTTATTTCTATCTTGTAAAAAATAAAACCTCTTCTATCAGAGCTGTCATCAAACTGTCAAATGTCAATTTTAAGGTTAATTTGTGGGTATGGTAAATTTGTAGGTTATGGTAAATTAACCTTAAATTTGACAGTTTGATGACAGCCCTGATGGAATAAGGTTTATTTTTTACAAAAGAAGTAAGAAACACAACCTTAAAAGGATTTTAAATCTGTATAAACAGCACAAACCCAAAGCACAAGAATTGTAGACAACATAAAAATGGCCGCCGTTAGAGTCTGCAACAGACCTTGTTGTGTGGATTGTGCGATCTCATATCTTTTGAAATAATGTAAGGTAGACTTTTTTAAGAATTTTTTGGGATTCCTGGGCTCTGTATATCATCAAGGGATAACTTCTGGGACACCCTGTATACACTAAAAAAGTTCATATAAATTATGTATGAATGAGATGTAGAAATGCTAATTTATCAAGATAATACAAAGTTTTAAATTATGCATATGTGATATTTTATAGCGCTCACTGAATATAATAACAACATTTTAATTGAGTGTGTGTTGCTTTAAAACCATTTGGGATTTTATTTATGCAAGGACTAACATCTTCTCTTATTATTCATTTGTATAATTTTTATATACAGCTCCAGCACAGTACAGGAACGTGTCATGTCCAAATTTCACTTGAATCAATTAATAAGGAATGCTTATAAAATTATTAAATTACAAAATACATAAAAAAACTTTTCTTACAGTTTAGTTCCATCCATATTTGTATTAATATAATTGATTTGCTAGAATTTTGAGTACAAAAATATTAAGACCTTTTCTACACACCTTAAGTTGAATTTCGCGTGTCGCGGGCTGTTAGAAATTGCGTGAATTGGCGACTTATTGGGAGATAAAGGTGAGGCGACTTCGTGCTGATTTTCGTCATCTTCACTTATACTCGGAAGGGTTAAAGATGGAAGGCCATTCGTATCAGACTCTGCCTGCAAAAATTTAACAAAACGTAAGTTTTCCATAATGTTATCATATCTTTAATTTTATTAATATATTAATTAAAAGTGCTAACGGTAAGTATTTTATTTGGAAATGAATTTAATTTCTTTACATAGTTTATTTGCGTTTCATTTTACATGAACCCATTGCAATTCAAATAGCTTTAACATTGTACAAATCGCTTTTTGCTAGTATTCCACGCTCATAATTCAATCAAATTAAACTAATCAAATAACAAATGTTTGGTTCAATAATCAATACTTTAGATGTTTCAATGTAATCTAAACAACATATTTGTTTATTTTTTTAATATTTTCAATTTTTAAAGTATATTTTTTAACTAAGTACAGTAAGGTAATACTTTAAAAAGTATAACTGGAAGAGCTGAAAATAATGATGACAATATTAAATAACGTCAAACTAAAATAACGACAACATAAAATGATGACAGAACAAACTTAAGATGACAATATTAAAGAGATCAAGCTAAAATAACGACAAGCCAAGGTGAAGTCAAGCCAAAATACTTAAAATAAAAATATTAAAATGGCGACAAGCGAAATAACAAGATAAACAAAGACAAGCTAGAATAATAACAAGCTAAAATTATGACAATATTAAATTAAGACAAGCTAAAATAATGACCATATTAAATGAGGTCAAGCCAAATTATCAAAAGCTAAAATGATGACAATCATTAATGACGTCAATCTTAAATTATGACAATATTTAATGACGTACTTAATGATGGCAACCTAAAAATAAGACAATATTTAACAAAGTCAAGCTACAATAAAAAGATATAATGTCAGTCAGGCCTAAATAATGATTAGATAAAATGATAACAGACTAAAACTAAAATTTAGGTAAAGCTAAATGAATGATAATCTAAAATGACAATAAGCCAAATGATATAATAAAGACAAATTAAAATTATGACAATATTACATAAAGTCATAATATAAAATGATGACAGACCAAAACAAGACAAGCTAAAATAACGACAATATTAAATGACTACATGCTAAAATAAAGACAAGATAAAATGAAAATGAAACAGGCTAAAATTACAACAATATCAATTGAAGGCAATGACAATATTTAATGACGTAAGGCTAAAGTAAAAACAAGATAATATATAATGGTAACCTAAAATAATGACACTCTAAAATTAAGACAAGCTAATTAGGTGAAGCTTTAAATTAACGATAGGCTTAAATGACGACAAGCCAAAATACGTAAAATCAAAAAGATATAATAATGACAAACTAAAATTATGACTATATTAAATAAAGTCAAGTTAAAATGGTGACTTCATGCTAAAATAACGACAAGCTAAGATGACGTCAAGCCAAAATACCTAAAATAAAAATATTAAAATGGCGACAAGCGAAAATAACAACAAAATAAAATAATGACAGACTAAAATAAAGACAAGCTAGAATAATGACATTCATTAATGATGTAAAGCTAAAATTATGACAATATTAACAACATAAAATTAGATCTATAAAAATTAACGAAAAGCTAATATGACAAGTCAAAATACGTAAAATCAAAATAATGACAGATTTAAATAAAAAAAACTAAATTGATGCCAATCAAAAATATTTAATGATATAAGTAATGATGACAACATAACGAGATAAAACTATACGATAACGATAAGCTAAAATGACAATAAGCCAAAATACGTCAAATCAAAAAGATATAATATTGACAATCTAAAATTATAACAATAATATATATTATACCCACGTAGCACACTGACGTCTGCTGACGTTTAAATCACGTTAGAAACGACATTAGACGTTCGCAGACGTCAGTGTGCTACCTGGGTATAATATTATATATTATATAATATATAATATATAATATATAATATATAATATATAATATATAATATATAATATATAATATATAATATATAATGTATATTATATATTATATATTATATATTATGTAATAAATTAAATTTTAAAGAAACCACTATAACTTTAATTTATTTTTTTTAATTTTTACTCAGAAAAAGTGTCTTAAAACTTTGGACACAAATCCCTAAAACTTTACCCGAAACAAATGGCTGAAATCCTGCATAGGATTCCAAAATACCGAAGGGTGATTGGGGAGAACTATTTAATTGGGAACTGCTGGTGACTATGGAAACTTTTATACAGCCAGCGTCTAACCGCGCCTGTTAAGCTGAAATATGCTAAGTGCAGTGTTTGACGAAAAGTTTGCAAAACTTGGGGATTTTACGAGCCTTGTAGACAAAATGTAAACAAAGTGTTTGCCTCTACGCTTATTTACTTTGATTCTAGTTTTAATGTCGCCCCAAAGTGGATTCACGATGTTAAGCTGACTTATAAATTCGAATTTATAAATACTTGTAGGGATAAGATAACAAGATTTTCTTGTTTGGTGTCTGGAGTATTTTATGTTTAAAAAGTCAATTTGTTTGGGTTTCAGGTCCTTAATTTTAACGAGTCTTGTGACATATTCATTTCATATGAATGTCAAAGAAAGTTCTGTACGACTAAATCAAATAAAGCATAAAAAATATATATAAAGTTTTTTAACCAAAATAAATTATCACACTAATATATAAACATTAGGATGTTATTTTACTTTAAGAACCTGTATCTTAAAAACATATTAAAATACGATGAAAATACGTAAAAATATAAAAAAAGTTCTCTTACCTCGGCCTCGTACCCCTCTCTGACGTTAAAAGTCAAATCGTGCTGAATATCGTTGGCAAATTGCTGCTGATATTCCGGGTAGAGTCTCAAAACATCGACGAGGCCCTGCATGTGTATGCATTTCAAATCGCAGTAGGTGAGAGCTCTGACGTCGCTCGACGACTTGATCACGATGTCTTGGCCTCCGCGATTTTCGTTCGCCGAACAGTTCTGAGTGTGCTGGAGATGGAGTTTTATATCGCTTCCCACTAGATCACCCTTGCCTGGAAATTAATAAAATGGGTTTTAATGTCCCCATTTTTTTTACATACTTTTTAATTTATATGGGGGATTCTTAATGAAAAGTTCACTCAATCAATATAGTTATTGGACATCAGATTATTGGACATTCTACTCCTAAGCTCCAAGAGTTCTAATAGTTCAAATACAACCACCAACCGATAAACGTCAGGAGCGCGGTCCATATTTCTAGAATGCAGGAAGTTGCATGACATTCGAATTTGATTTGACAGTTTGTGTTGTGTTAAGTTAATAAGTATTAAGCAAGTAATTTCTTATTATTGAAGGCTGCCGTTTTAATAAACCACGCTTGTAAATCGAAATGATGTAAATTTATGTTTGAACCATCTTGCATTATAATTTAGATTCCAAATTATAACCAATTTGTACTTAAAAGGGCAGGGTTGTACTGGATTTTATCTAGATAAATGTCAGGGTTGTACTTGAGTTTATTTAATTATTTTAATAAATATTTCTTAAAGAAGATTTACCATAAACGCTGTGTAAATTAAGTGTAATTAATATCGACTTTCTTGAATACGAGATTTATTAAATAGTACTCGCAGATTCACATTTTTGTCCCGTAATTAGTTAAGTGATTTTACCATGGCCATTAAACGTCCTGGCGGCAAACTCTTAGACAGTGGAATAAAGAACATCCAGGGGAAGTCCTTAACAAGGCTGTTAATTCAAGTATTAAACCTGAAACGCTAGTTAATGGATTTAGAGCTTGTTGACCGTGTCCATTTAACCCAAATGCAATTGATTATACAAAGTGTTTGGGGGCAAATATGACAAAAAGAAACTCCAAGGAAGATCTTTTATTTCCAAATCCGGTTTAAACAAAAATTCCACTTCCGGTTTAACCGGAAGTGACATAAACTTTGTTATTTCAAATAAAACATGATTCATAAGAAGTTTCTGGGGAACGAAAAAAGATACCAATTTGAAATTCCAAAAGTGTTTATAATTCATTTAAGACTATTTTTCTAAAATACAAAATTCCACTTCCGGTTTAACCTGATTTGAAATTTTAAAAGCCTTTATAATACATTTAAGTCAATTTTTCTAAAATACAAAATTCCACTTCCGGTTTAAGCAAAATTTTACTTCCAGTTTACAAAAATGCAACTTCCGGTTTCTGGAGAATTAAATTGAAATTATGAAAGCGTTTATAATACATTTAAGTCTATTTTTCAGAGAAATAGACTTAAGGGGAAGTGGAATATTGTTTGCACCGGAAGTAGAATTGTGTTAAACCGGAAGAGGAATTTTGTGCTTTAGAAAAATAGACTTATATGTTATAAACGATTTTAATATTTCATATTTTAAATCGATATCTTTTTTCGTTCACCAGAAACCGGAAATGGAATTAAAAAAAAAATAAAAGTAAAAAATATATCGATTTGAAATTTTAAACGCGTTTTTGGGGAACGAAAGAAGATATCGATTTGAAATTTGAAATTTTAAAAGCGTATATTTCTAAAATACACTTCCTGTTTAAACAAAATTCCACTTCCGGTTTCTGGGGAAAAATATATCGATTTGAAATCAATTTTGGGAATCGCAAACAGTGATGAGAATATGACATACAATGTTGCCAGGTTTAATTTAAAAATCTCATGTATTTCCACAAATTCTAGCAAATTTTTAAACAATTCTATTCTATGTATTAACGAAAACATTGTGAAAGTGCTGCCACATTAAAAATTAAATTTATGATTGCATTATAATATTTTACAAGATAAATTCGTCAGTAATTTAATACACTTTTAGACAATAATAAATTAAATTATTTTACCACCTAAAAGTTGCTTTCCAGTAAGTAAATTTCTGAAAAATAAAAGTTATAAATCTAGAAAATACATCCAAATAAAAAACATCAATAAAAGTCATATTAAAAGGACCATTTATATAAGGCAAAAAAAATGTGGGTAAATAAAATCTTTAAAACAAATTAATCTCAAACAAAGGGATGAGATTTAAAGGATGGAAATATAATAGTAATAGCTTGAAGGCAGAAAATAAAGAACAAAACAAAAGAAATTTCTTTGTTTTAACAATGTATTGTTCAGAGGTAAAACACGGTGTACAAAAAAAAGTTGGATTACATTGCTTTTAAAATAATTTAAAATGTTTTATTTTAAAATGTGGTTTAATTAATTGTTAGAGGTAGATTTTATAAATATTATATAATTTAACAAGCATGGTGTCACTTAAAAACATAATGTAGGATTTTATTATTATTTTACTTCCAAAATTAAAAAAAAAAACATTTAAAATTATACAAACATGATGAAGTTTTTTTATTCGGAATTCGACATATTTGAAAATTTTTGTATAGTATGTTATTATACTTTGGGTTTTTTAATATTTAAAATTGGTACTCCTGTTCAAGCCTTTAGTTCTCCAATAAACTAGAATTGTCCAACAAATTTTCTAAAAATTCGTAATCAAAAGAAGCTTTTTTTAAAATTTGATTTTTCTTTATTACTCCTATTACCCCTAGTTTTTAATTGCAAAATTTAAATTCTTTTTGTTGTTGTTACTTTATTTATAAACGCTAAAAAATTATATTTCAGTAAGTAATTCAAATATTTTTATTGCAAAAATGGCGAATGCACCGGTATAATAAAAATATATATAGGGGTCCATAAATCTCGCGACGCTAAGTGGGGGATTATTTTAAAACGTCACGCGAGAAAGGAAATCGAATCGAAGTCAAATTATTGCAAAAAAAAAATCGAAAACAATATTTGGTCACGTGACTAATCTTTAATTTATTATTAATATATTTACTTACGTGTTTTATATTTTATTTACAATTTTTTAGAACTAATAAACTTATTATTATTTAATAATTCTTCTAAATTATATTAAAAACTAATTTTAAGTTTTTTTTATTTATTAAATGTTTTTTAGGATAATTATATATTTAAAATGATCTTTTTTATTTTTTTTAATGTCATCTTTTCTTTAATATAATTGTAATTTTTTAAATGTAGTTCTTAAAATAAAAAATATACCCATACATAATAATACTTTAAAAAATTAAAAATGTTTTCCCCATTTGAAACCAAAATATTTAAAAAGCATAAAAAAAATCGTTCGGAATATTGTTTTATACCTACACTCACAGGCAAAATAATCGATGTGAGTGTATCTATAAATTAAAAAAAATTCTTAAAATAAAAAAAAATGTGATATTTAATTTTATTACAAATTTTGCAATATTTATGCTAAAAGTTAAAAAAGAAGTCAGAATAAAATAAAGAAAGAACAAATCTTTGAATTTTATTATTTGTTATTACTAATTTGTTAGTTTTCTGAATAATTTCAATAAATTTAATTTTGTATAGGTATTCTTCTTTCAATTATGAGTTTTTTTAATATTTGTGTTTTTTATCCAATTTACATACATACATATTTTTTTATCAATGGATTTCATATAATCGTCTACAAATCTTTCACACATTAGATTTAAAAAAAGAACATTTGCAAATTAAAATTTCCTGCGGCAAATCAAAAGTATTAATTGAGGCAAAACACTCTGATTAACCAGCTAAAACCCACTGTTTGTTTAACGTTAAGCAGGACACAAAGAAAACATTTTACTTTTGGGTGACAAACATTGTATAACACCCTCGAAATCCCCTGTTAATCTCTATTTAGAGACATAACGTACGCAAACTTTACCGAATTTTTTGCTTACCCTGCTTGACAGTTGCAAAACAAGATTCATGGGTTTAATTGTCAATTAAATCGAATGTGAAAACACGGTTTTGTTAATTAAACCTGTTTCCATTTCGTTGCCATATTAGCATTTAGAGGGAATGTTAAAAAAATATATTTTTTACTCCCACAATTATCGTACCTACATGTTTCCATGAATCTTTTAAATACACATTGACAAGCTGTGCATTTATGGCGTTTTAGTCACGGGCAATGTTAGTTTTATTTTTTAATGTTTGTGTTCGTCGTAGAAAAAGTATAGTTTGCAGCTCGTTTATTAAGTTTTTAAGCACTAAACGCTTGTTTATTAAACACTCGCTCGCAAGCTTCGTTCGTAACTAAATCGCCGTTTATCAAACGATTTATCTATTTTGAAAAAAAATAATTTTATACCTTAAATTTAATTTGGTCGAATTTTACTTCATACAGTTGGTATCACAGTCATTGGTTTGACAGTTAATGTCAAAATCGATTCGCCATGCCGTCCTTAATTTACTTATTTACAATAAGCGGCTGTTAATGTTAAAGAAGAAAAAAAGGATTTTTTTTGGTGCTAAACAAAATGTATTGCCAGAAAAGTCTCGTAAGAATTAGAAAAATCATAAAATTATTTTAACCAATATGCAAAATATTATCGTGTTTAAAGTATAACCAACCCATAAAATGAAAATTTTGGATGGGATAAAGTATCTCATTACAGCACCGAAAGCAGTGTTATAATGAACTCATTATAAACGCAAAATAGATAAAAAACTATTTAATTTAGAATTATAATATATAATAAAAAAAACACTTACCCAATATAGCAACAACCATATCATTCTGCACTACTTCCATAGACCCATTACAAATATAGTAAAGATAACTGAGAGCATCACCCTTATGAATCAAATACTCTCCAGGAGCGCAAAAATTTGCACGAATATGCAGCGACAGTAACTTCAGGCAACCTTAAAAAAATAAAAATCCCTGTTATTTAGGTTTTTGATTTCTTTTATGTAAAATTATAAATTATATTTAAATATAAATAGCTTTGTTATAAAATACACTGGATAAATAAAATTATCCGAAAATTTCGAAACTACAGCTCAAATTCATTAAAACCTACCTTGGGATGCGTTTTCAAAAATGGGCAGCTGAAGAATCTCACGATGAAGATGCATTGACACGTCTCCTCGTAATTCTTCAGGAAACTCTTTTAATGTCTGAAACAAAAACTTATCGTTCAACGGTTTTTGCAAGTGTTCAGGACCTATAAAAATGGGTACATTTAAAATTAAAAATAATAAGATTTAAAACGTAAAAATGTCAAAAACTAGTTTTTAGGTAGTAGTGATACTTCATTTGCAAACATTTTAAATATCTTGAAAACGATTTAATAGAATTTGACAATTATTTTCCATGATACTCAAAACTGAAGTTTAAAAAAAAATTGTAGGTACTACACGAAAAGTCCTGTTTGGTTTTCGTTGGGCCACCCTATATAAAGGTGATTCTACAAAAGTTGGGCAACTTTTGCCCTCATTTTGTTTATATAGTTTTCGGAGAAAATTAAACAGTATTTTGTTATGAGAACATAGATAATATAATAAATATACTATTCCAGACCGGGCCAGTCGAATAGTTTTCGAAATATCTGTGTTTTCTAAATTTGAATGCAAGGGAAGTGACGAGTATACCAGGGTACTAATTAAATACATAATTTATTGGAAAATATAAGATTTGTTGCAACTTTGAGCATATTATACATTAAATATCTTAAAATCAAATAATACCTACCACACATCAGTGGCGGCTGGTGTATTTTGGGTATACCGATATCTCAATTATTAGACCACCCACACCAAATTTATATGAGTTTATAATGACATTAAATAAACAAGTTCTGCACAAGCAGAATTTAAATTGAAGTTTTCGAAAAAAGATAACCGAAACATCGAACATGGAACTGACGACACAGTACTAATGAATGGGATACAAATTTGAGATTATAATTCGGAATTAAGTATTTTACTGATATTTTTTATTAGTGGATGCTAATTTTCAACAAATCACATATAGCCTTATATAAATTACAATAAAATATAACGTGCATTCACCACAACTTTGCCGCTTGCATTGTTTTCAAGATAACTGTCGTGCAATGGGCGGGCTATGTAAGTAATTTTTTACCAAAACTTGAATTAAAACGAGCACTTGACGTTTAAACTTCAATATTTCGCAAGAATTTTGAATTTTAACATTGGACACAGAACTGACGGGTAAAAGTAAGTACAAAGATTATCAATTTTTTAAAAATTGCTATTATTCGAATCTATGATAAAATATGAAAAATACATTATTTAATGTTTTATAGTTTGTAGTGAAATTGAAAAATTTAAGATAAATTGAATATATTTTAAAATAAAATCACTCAAATATTTGATTCAGGAGTTGTGACACGCCAAGGTACTGATGTTTTGAATATTTATTATGTTTTTTTACAAACGTGCTTTTAAAAAAATACATTAAAATTGGGTGGACAAGTTAAAAAAAACTGGATCTTTTGTAATATACTAAAATATTTACAAAAAATATTAAAATACCTACTTTATTGACTGATGGCATCAAGTTGTCCAACTTTTGTAGAATCACCCATAACAGTGCAAAATTAAATAAGGTAAAAACGAATTATACGTGGTATGTAATTTTTATGTCAAATATCTGATATAACTTGATAAGCTGTGACTTTATGGCGTTTAGTTACGGGCTGAAGTTAGCAGCGGTGGCTTTTGGGCATTTTAGCCACGTGCTGAAGTTAGCTTTATTATAAATTGCGAAAAAGTGAGGTTAGATTAGTTAGATTTCAAATATTTATGATTTAAATTCTTATTTTCGTTCGTCGTAGATAAAGTATAGTATGCAACCCGTTTTAAAACTTCTCTAGACACTCGTTTTTATTAAATACTCTCTCGCTATATATTATACTATTATGTGCACTCTTAAAAATCAATAGTGTTTTAATATGATAATAAAAAAAATATAACATAGTCATGAAGAAATTGTTAAAGATATAAAACGTATATATAATGACTTGATGAATAAATAAAATATAGGTTAAATGGCCAAAGAAAACAAAAAAGCAAAGATTAATGGCATCATCTTTAACATCGACAAAATACATTGTGGAACTTAAATGTCATATCTCTATAATATTTTCTGACCAGTTAAAGGAAAGCCTGCTACTGACATATCCCTAATGGGACTTTAACGTTTATAAGCTATATCCACAAAGAATATATCCTATTAAAACTTTAAAAATATTCTTTTTAAAGTTCCCTCTTATCCGTTATCAATTCGTAACAGACTAAATATTCCCTAACGTGTAACATTTTTCTCCTGTTTGCAACATTTGTACCCAGAACACTTTTTAATTTGTGCTGTTTATTGATCCAAGCATTAATCTTACCTTAGTGTAGACGTTATTACTTTTATACCGAATGAAAATAATATTAACACATATTTTTCAATTTTGTAAATGTGGGTCAAACGGCGTATTATGCGTGATTTTGCCCATAATGAATGTTTAGAGACACCTAATATAGAAAATCGGCCTATTAAATCTTTCCAAACATGACGCTCTTCTATAGTATACGGTATAAACGTGTTTTTTGGCTATTACGTACTCTTAAGTGATGCACTATCCTTTGGTGAGGAAACAGTGTAGTTTGGGATTTTTCATAATAATAATAGTAATAATAATAATCTTTATGTTATATACAAGTAGTATTTACACAAGTCAAAAGCAGGTTAAAAATATAATTAATAATTTACAAAATAGATTGGGAAAATATAAAATATAATAATATATATATAATATTAAAATTGAAATTTAAAAATTTATCGAATGAATAAAAGAAATTTTGGATTAAAATTTTATCAATTTTTTTTTTAAATTTTTGACCCTTAATATATACGAGGTGTGTTCAGAAAATAACGGGAATTGTTAAATTTCGCGGGTTCGGAGGGTCCGGTTGTCATAAAATTTGCTTTATTATGTTGGTATATATGCCCCCGAAGTATGATAAAAACTTAAGCTGTTTTTATTGTTTACTTTGTCTGTGGCAGCCGCTAAGGTCAGGCGTGTTTTATCAGCTCGGCGATCGTCAAAAGAAATGGATCAAAGAATTTGTATCCAATATTGCTTAAAAAATGAAATAAATTCTGTGAAATGTTAACAAAGGCCTATAGTGAGTCTGCTATAAGTAAAACAAAAGTTTACAAGTGGTATAAGAGTTTCCAAGATGGCCGTGAAGACGTTGAAGATGACGAACGCCCCGAACGCCCAAGCACATTAACAACCGATAAAACCATGGAAAAAGTGGAAAAAATGGTTATAAACCATCAGAGAAGTCGCTGATGATGTTGGTATATCGATTGGCTCATCCCATGAAATTTTTTCAAATGTTTTGGGTATGAAACGCGTGGCAGCAAAATTTGTTCCAAAATTGTTAAATTTTGAACAAAATTTTTGTCCAAAAACAATACTGTAATGATGCCCCATCCTCCATATTCGCCAGACATGCCTCTGTCTGACTTTTTCCTATTCCCAAAAATAAAGAGAACCTTAAAGGGCCGTCGTTTTGCATTAAAAGCGCATCGCTGAAAGAACTAAAGGCTATCTCAAAGATCGAGTTTTAGAAGTGTTTCGAGTATTGGAAGAAGAGCTGGCACATGTGCATAATATCCAATGGGTACTATTTTGAAGGCGACAACATTAATGTAGGCAAATAAATAAATATTTTTTTCAAAAAACTAAAATTCCCGATATTTTCTGAACACACCTCGTATATGCCACAAAGACATATTTCCAATTTAAATAACATGGGGTTTCGGCACGTTTTACATTTATTTTTTTTATCCCGAGAAAGTTAATATACAGTAATAAACTTTTTAAACTTTTTTTACTTTGACTGCAAAATTATAATTCTTTTTATGAAAATGAATTGTTAATAATGAATATGTGATTTTATTGTTTTATAAAAAAAGTAAAATGTATTGAAAAGAGATAAGTGAAAATTATTGACAAGAGATTCCGATACATTAATCATTTTTTTATTTCATTAAAAGAATCTGGTACTAGTTTTACTCAATTTTAGTACGATTACTTTTTTACATAATCTTTTTATTTCTGTGAAATTTTACAAAATTTTATAAAATATTATACAATGAAAAATTTTCCTTCAGCTGTAGCTAATGACTTCTTTTAACAATTATTTTTACGAAAAAATAAAATTTGTAGTTTTAAATACTAAAATATAAAAATTAAAAAAGGGGTGTTTTTAGTAGTTTTTTAATTGGGTTTAAAAATGCAATTTTTGACGAGAACTAGTTTTATAAAAAAAAATAAGTATTTTTGAAACATTTTTTGACTGAGCTACATATTCAGGGTATCCCTAATCTACAAGCGGTTTTTAGGGCCAAAAATGGTAAAAAAAAATGGCCCCTAAGGGCATTAATTTAAATATTTTAGTAATTTAGAACCATTTTATATTTGTTATTGGATATTTAATAATATAGAACATAATATGTTAATTTCAACAAAAAATTATAATTTGATAGTCATACATTTTAATACGTTTTACTACTAAAATTGGTTAGTGATTTTGTTAATTTAAAAAATTTATATTATTTATAAATTATGTGGGTGATTCTACAAAAGTTGAACAACTTGATGTCATCAGTCAATAGAGTAGGTATTTTAATATTTTTTGTAAATATTTTAGTATATTACAAAAGATCCAGTTTTTTTTAACTTGTCCACCCAAAACATAATAAATATTCAAAACATCAGTACCTTGGCGTGTCACAACTCCTGAATCAAATATTTGAGTGATTTTATTTTAAAATATATTCAATTTATCTTAAATTTTTCAATTTCACTACAAACTATAAAACAATAAATAATGTATTTTTTATATTTTATCATAGACTTGAATAAAAGCAATTTTTAAAAAATTAATAATCTTTGTACTCACTTTTACCTGTGTCCAATGTTAAAATTCAAAATTCCTGCGAAATATTGAAGTTTAAACGTGAAGTCCTCGTTTTAACTCAAGTGTTGGTAAAAAATTACCTACAGAGCCCGCCCTTTGCACGACAGTCATCTTGAAAACAATGCAAGCGGCAAAGTTGTGGTGAATGCACGTATAGTTCCAGTCGTATATATATTTAATATATATTTAATTGTAATTTATATAAGTCTATATGTGATTTGTTGATAAATAGCATCCACTAATAAAAAATATCAGTAAAATACTTAATTCCGAATTATAATCTCAAATTTGTATCCCATTCATCAGTACCGTGTCGTCAGTTCCATGTTCGATGTTTCGGTTATCTTTTTTTCTCAAACTTCAATTTAAATTCTGCTTGTGCAGAACTTGTTTATTTAATATCATTATAAACTCATATAAATTTGGTGCGGGTCGCATATCTAATAATTGAGATATAGGTATACCCAAAATCCACCAGCCGCCACTGATGTGTGGTATTATTTAATTTTAAGATATTTAATGTATAATATGCTCAAAGTTGCAATAAATCTTATACATAGAACAGTATATTTTTTATATTATCGAAAACTATATAAACAAAATGAGGTAAAAAGTTGCCCAACTTTTATAGAATCACCCGTATAATAAATAACTTTCTAGGTCTTAAAAAATGACCAAAATGTTGTCCAAACTTTGTTTTAAGAACGAGTGGAAAACTTAAAAAAAAAACTTTAAACATTTTATAAAAATAAAAAGTTATTGATGTTATATTTACAAAACCTATAAAAAGATACAATGGACCGTTTACATGTTCTTTTCCTTTAAAACATCTCATCTCACAAGATCTGGATTGCCGGACTCGTTTTATAGCACAGGAAATCTTAAGCAGCTTATTTCACTTGAACCTCTATTAAATACATAGTTGAGACGTGGTGTACACAAAGGGACCGACAATGTAAACAGAGAGACAACTCAGCGTCTCACATTACATAGTAGAAATTAATTGTAAATACAGTTACTGGGCTGTTCAGATTTTGGATCCTCATGTTGAAAATAATCTTTAATGAAAATTAATTCAGTTACATGTATGTATGTAAGTAACAGGCTTTTTTATTGGTCCGAAAAATATATATATATTTTGCTCCCACACAATGCAGTTTTATTAAGGTTATAAATCGTTTATTTTTTTAATTTTGACCTTTAAGATAATATTAAGGTTAATTTATTTAAAAATATTTTATGAATTAAAAAATACTAAAAACTTGCAAAAATGGCGAATGCGCCGGGATTAATTCAAGTGGGTTTAATGGAGTGAATAATGCGCATAATTTAGAGTGTAATACTATACTTTAACCACTCCAATAAGTAGATAATTAAATGATTTTTAAACGTATTAAATAAAATCTGACATCTGTCAAATGGTTAACCCTACTTTTTACCAATTTTAAATGTTATTAACAACGTGAATAATGAGTTCATTATTTATTCTAACATAGCAAAAATATCTTGTTTAAAATACATTCTTTAATATAAAGAAATTCAATCACATCTCATCACAATTCAATCGAAATAATCGAAGTCGTTTAAATATTATGAGTAAAGTTTCGTCGAGGGAATTCAGCGGAATCTGATATACATGCAGAGATTTCTAATATAGTGAAATTCCGATCTAGACTACGTCTAATTGAACCGCATTTTAAATGAAGTCCACACGACCTTAGAAAAGATTCGAGCAAAGAATAAATTCAATGAATTTTCTTTGATTAAGTTCAGAGTTTTTAAAAGTTTTCTCCCTGGCAAAAATAGTTTTTTAATTGTATTTTATTTAAATATTACAATTTTATTTTGTATACAAGCAAGCACAAACTAAATTCGTAATTTTTGGTTATTTTTATTTTAGCATGTCTTTATTTAAAATTGTTATCAATTTAGTTTGCCGGCATTTTGACTTTTCATCATTTTGGCATTTAACATTTTAGCTTGTCATTATTTAAACTTGTACTTGGCTTGTCATCATTTTAGATTGTTGTCATTTTGACTCGTCATCATTAAAGTTTGTCGTTATTTTAACTTGTCATCATTTAAGGTTTTTAACATTTTAGCTTGTCATTTTAGGTTTTTTGTCATTCAATCTTGTCGTTATTTCGGCTTATCATTTACTCTTCTAATCATTTTATCTTGTCGTTGTTTTAGCTTGTTGTCATTTTGCATTGTCATAATTTAAGATTGTCAAGATTTTAGCTGGTCATCATATAATCTCATAGATATTTTTAACTTGTCATCACTTTAGCTTGCCGTCATTGTTTTGGCTTGTTGTATTTTAATTTGTTGTCACTTTGGGTTTTCATTATTTAAGTTTGTCGTTATTTTAACTGGTTGTCATTTAATTTGTCTTATCATTATGACTTTTAAACATTCATCATTTAAGCTTGTAGTTATTTTAGCTTGTCATCATTTAAGCTTGTCCTTATTTTAGCTTGTCATCCTTTAAGCTTGTCGTTATTTTAGGTTGACATCATTTAAGCTTATAACCATTTTGTCTTGTCGTTGTTTTAGATTGTTGTATTTTAATTTGTCATTATTTTAGCTTGTTTTTATTTTGGATTGTCATCAATTAGGTTTATCGTTATTTTAACTTGTCTTCATTTAGATTTCTTCACATGTTGTTGTTTTAGCTTCCTGTCATATTGACTTGTCATCTTTTAAGCTGGTCATTGTTTAATTTCGTGTTTTTTTTTAGCTCATCGCCAATATAATTTTCTTTATTTTAGCTTGTCATCATTTTGTCTTGTTTTTGTTTTAGTTTGTATTTTTATTTCTCATCATTTTAGCTTTTCATTTTGGCTTATTATCATAAAAGGTTTGTCGATAACATTTTAGCTTATCATCATTTGGGTTGTCATTTTATTTTAGCTTTTCATTATTTTGACTTTTAATCATTTTAGGTTTTCATCACTAAGCTTGTCGTTATTTTAGATTATCATTTAAGCTTGTCATCATTTTGTCTTGTCGATGTTAGCTTTTAGTTTCTCAATATTTAATCTTGTCGTTGTTTTAGCTTGTCGTCATTTTGGGTTGTTATTATTTAAGTTTGTCATTATTTTAGATTGTCATTAATTAAGCTTGTCATTATTTTAGCTGCTCATCATTTAATCTCGTAGTTTTGTTGGCTTGTCGTAATTTTAATTTATCACCCTTTTAGCTTGTCATTATTTTGACTTTTAATCATTTTAGGTTTTCATCATTTAAGCTTGTCGTTGTTTTATATTATCATTTAAGCTTGTCATCATTTTGTCATGTAGATGTTTTAGCTTGTATTTTAATTTGTCATAATTTTAGCTTTTCATTTTGGCTTGTTATCATTAAAGTTTGTCGTTATTTGAACTTGTTGTGGTTTGAGCTTTTTAACATTTTAGCTTATCATCATTTGTGTTGTCATTTTATCTGTCACCCTTTTAGCTTGTTATTATTTTGACTTTTAAACATTTTAGCTTAACATCCTTTAAGTTTCTCAAAATTTAATCCTGTTGTTGTTTTAGCTTGTCGTCAATTTGGGTGTTATCATTTAAGTTTGTCATTATTTTAGCTGGTCATCATTAAATTTCGTAGTTTTTTTGGCTTGTCGTAATTTTAAATTGTCACCCTTTTAGCTTTTCATTATTTTGAATTTTAATCATTTTAGATTTTCATCATTTAGATTGTCGTTATTTTAGATTACCATTTAAGCTTGTCATCATTTTGTCTTGTTGATGTTTTAGCTTGTATGTTAATTTCTCATCATTTTAGCTTTTCATTTTGGCTTGTTATCATTAAGGTTTGTCGTTATTTTACCTTGTCGTGGTTTGAGATTTTTAACATTTTAGCTTATCATCATCTGGGTTGTCATTTTATTTGTCACCCTTTTAGCTTGTCATTATTTTGACTTCTCAACATTTTAGCTTCTCAACATTTAAGTCGTTGTTTTAGCTTGTCGTCATTTTAGCTTGTCATCAATTAAGCTTGTCATTATTTTAGCTGGTCATCAAAATTTAATCTCGTAGGTTTTTTGGCTTGTCGTAATTTTAATTTGTCATCATTTTAGTTTGTTATCATTTTGGCTTGTTGTTAATTTAGTTTGTCAACATGTAAGGCTGTTATTATTTAATTTTGTCGTTATTAATAAATGAATTCATGCTTGTTGTTATTTTGATTTGTCATTATTTTAGCTTGTTCTGATTTTTGCTCGTCTTCATTTAAGTTATTTGATATTTTAGCTAATTATTTAAGCTTCTCGTTATTTTAGCTTACCTATGTCCAACATTACCAAATATATATGAAATGAATATAATTCTACCATATACCATACCTTTTGATAAAAGCTTTGTAGCTCTATATTTTCTTAGCCGCTAACTTTACGAAAAAAATGCATATAAACTTTCATGTAGCCAATTTTTAGACCTACGTTTTTCAATATAAACTTTTAATTTACAGACACATAACCTAAGAAATTTTGCAAAAAACAAAAACACCATTCGTTCACAAATTATTTACTTACGTCGTGTATGTCGATGCCGTGGTTCAGCGACCACATGGTTTGAAAGTAGTCCTGCATGCGTTGTTTTAGCTCCTTGGGTATCTGGTGCAGGGTGAGAAAGTCCTTTAGGTCGCGCCATTTGGTCTGGTAGAGCGATCGACGCGAGTACATGCGTTGAATTATGGCCGTCACGTTTCCGAACACCACTGCATGCATCAGGGCTGCAAAAAGAAATTGTCCTATCATCACATACTAAAAATGCGTTTTTTTGAGGTTATGTGGCTTAATTTACAAAGGTTAAAAGTTCTTGAGAAATTAACATAGTGCATGTTATCTGCAAACTTTGAGGTTATAATCGTTATTAAGCCCTGGTAAATAGATGCTCGGCGTAATCAGTCTCCTAAGACGAAGCAGTTTGCAAACAAATTCCAAACTGTTGATAGATGGATAATACAGTCTGGTTGTGAGTTGGTAGAGTATCAGGTCGGGTCAAATATACAGAAATCTTACAATCTAATGAACGGTTCGTTAGTTTTATAATGATTAAGACCAATATTTTTATAATATAAGTTATAAATTTTGTTTGATATATATAAACCCCAAGATCCTAACAATAACAATAACATTGTTCTTAATTTGGTTTTTAGGTTAAATTTTTTTGTCAAATTTTCTTTAAGATTGTCAAATCGTTTTTGGTGTTCCTTACCTCCAATTAGCATAACACATATGCTAAAAATCTTTTCACTGGTGGTGTTAGCACTAACATTTCCAAAACCTACACTGGTCAAACTGGAACAGGTAAAATATAAGGCTGTCACATAGGTGTCCATGTTGGCTATTTCCGATTTATTTGTCTTCAGTCTTTCGGCGAGGGTGTGTATCCAACCTAACGAAAAGCAAATACTAAGTAAAAAATTGTGTAGCTTTGCACGATAACTTTGTTAAGAATCTCTTAACATTATAAATTCTCTGCATAACAACGGCAATAATGAAGGATTTAATATCATTGTTTTAATACCGACAATAACAAAATACAAAACATTTTTTATGGTGAAAACAAAATATTTAATAGAAAAAAAACATAGTAATCATCAATGTTTATCCCTTTATATTAATTTTCTTTAGCCATATACATACATAAAAGGAATTTATATTTATTATATCAGCTCAAAAAATTAAGTGATCAACGAATGAATGAATGAAATCTTGACTCAATTAAAAAAAAACAAATCAGAAATTCGTATTAATGGTAATCTCATTGAATACCTCAGTTCATTAGATAATTATCTTAGCTTCTTTTAACTTTATTACCGAATCAATTAAATTTTAAGATCTACTTATTCTAATTTGTACGGGTTAGTTAATTTTTTAATTTTATACTTTTTGATTTGTAAAAAAAATAATATCTGTTTTTTTTAATTAATTAATAAATAACTTAAAGCTACTAAACAATTTGCTTTACATTTATTATTTTAGAAATAAAAACTGGCTTATTTTTTTACAAAAGATTAATTTAGCTAAATGTGCGCACTCTTAGACCATATTATGTCTTACCATATGCGTACTCTTACCCGACTACACTTTACAAAGTAAAATATTGTTTGATAATTTAAATTTTAAAATTTTTAATGACGTCAAATTAAATAACAACGCCGCCCAACTTTCGTAAATATTCAGAGTTTTTAACTCTTGTAAACCTGATTAACAACAAAACTTTTGGATGTAGAAAAAGCCATGTAAAACAGCTTTTTACAAATAAAATCGGAAGTTTTTTTATGGTTTACGAATAGATTGAATTAATAATTAATAAGTAGAATGCAACCAGCAGATTTTCAATTAAAAATATTTAATTAGTTTTAAAATGTTTTTTTAATTAAATTTGTACCTTTTCCAGAATTTTTTAATTCGTACCTATGTATGCATTTTTCTAAAAAACAAAAATTGCGTTTTGGCAAAAAAATAAATGAATGGAATGGAATGTATATATGTATGTACATTTGATGAGTTTGGTATTTAATTAAATTTTGCATCAGTCTGGGTTCAAAAGTTCGTTAAATTGGTAGACAAAAATTGACTGTAATTTGGTCAAAAAATTATTCCAGCCTCGTTTTAAAATCGTTTAAACTGACTGACATTTATCAAGATAAAAATCAATGTTTATTTTTAAATTACACTGTACATTAAAAAGGACTAAATACCATAGAGATTTTCTTTAAGGAATTAAACTTTGAAGTTTTAGAGTTTTCTGACGTAATTTATATTCGAAGGCCAAGTAAAGTTCATTTTTTTTTATCTGGACTGCGGCAACGTTGCAAATTTAGGGTTTTGGTTGGTAAATACAGTTGTCAAGTTGGTCGCATTAATAAAAACAAACTAAGCTAGTTATAAATCTAATTGTGGTTATGTATAAATTATTGTAGGTTACATTGTGCAGTTGTCAAGTTGAGTTGTCGAAATTCGTAGTTAAAAATGCAATTAATTTGGCTTTGGTGGTGCTTGGATGAATAAAAAATCATATAAAAGAGTAGTTAAATATAGGTTGCTTTACGGCCCAGAAGAGAAAGTATTCCTAGCGGATAATAATCTTTGCTTTGAAAAGAATTTATATAAAAGAAATTAAAATTTTTTGTGAACGTAAATGTTGTCCAATGGTGAATAATGTGAAAATAATGTGTGATGTAATATTTATAAAACCAAATTCGTTACTTTTTTACTCCAAAAATGTCCATAAGGCGATGTACTTTTTCTTCCACTGTGGCATTTGGCATAATTTCATCAAAATGAAGTTTTGCCCTCAAAAGGGCTTTTACTTTCGAATTCGTTGCTATTATTTTTGGCATAATTATCTTTTTATTTATAATTGACAAGTAAATTATCAATAATAAATAGTATTGGCAATTTGACAGTGTCAAAGTATTTAATTAAATTCTTTAGCAGAAGTACCATTTTTAAATACTAAAAATACTAAGTTAAACTGGCATAAGGCACCAAACTAAGAAAAAAACACGATTTCAGATAAAAAATGAACTATAATTTATTCAAAAATTAATGGAGAATCGTATATTACAGAAGAAAAATCGAACAAAATTGAAATATGAAAAAATGTTTTAGACAAAATCTACTGCAATATAAAATAGGGTGTTCCAAATTTTAAAGTTACACTGTTCCTCCTATAAGGAGGAGAGTATGTGGACCAATTTTAGTACTGATTGATTTCCCCCTCGAATCATTTAATTTTTCTTTTAAACATTTTTTCGTAAAATGCATATACTGAGATATTTCAAAGTTTAAAATTAAATGATTCACCCTGTATATTGAGTGGATTAGTGTTCCCGCATCAATGGTTACTGTTTTATTTTTCCCGTGTACGTCGGAAAACTCTAAAACTTCAAAATTCAATTTCTTGAAAACCCTGTTTTTCCTCTTATATAAAAATTTTATTTTTGCTATTGTGTAGTGTTATTTTTATTAAAAAAAAATATATAATAATGTGAAAGTTAAGTTGGCTGAAAATGGTTTAAATTTTCGGTTCCCTTTTTACTTCGATTTTTTTTTTCAAGCATGTGACAATAGTAAAACGATCCCATTGTTAAGTGGGTTTTCTTAATAGAGGTTTTGTTTGGGCCTATACAAATTGAGCGCAATTTATTTGACTTTTTGTGTGGTCGAGCAGGTTTTTAAATGGAGGCCTTTTATTATATTATTCTCATTGTATGAAAAAATATTCATTCAGCTTTCCCCATCGTTTTAAATAAAAATGAATGAATATTCTTGTTCTGGTAGTTTTAATTTTTTACCAATTTTAAGGTACCTATATATATCAATATTAAAATACTAACATCTTTGAAACGATTTTTTTCACTTTTACTCACCTAAATTTTTGTCTTCTCTATCAGCTATCACATACCATATACAAGCCAGCCAATGGGCGACCAGCGTAAAAGAAAGCATAAGAAGGGTGAGGATCATGGCGCTGTATTGCGAATATCTGTCCATTTTTTGGAGAAGCCTGGCCAGCCTCAGCAAACGCGTTAATTTTATTAGGTTTGTGTGAGTTGGCCCCGGATTCTAAAACAAACAAATATCAGGTTTGTAAAAAAAATATGAGTTATAAATATATATATATATATATACAGGGTGTTATGTAATTAATGTTATATATTAAAATACTGAATACCTTTTGACATAAGGAATAAAGGAAAAATATTTAAAAAAACATTTTTCCAAAGATAAAGAAAAAATATGCATTAGAAGTTTTTTATATTTTTTGTGATACGCCACTGGTTACACACTTGTTTATCTCTGCACACCTGTATTTTGTGAGTACATAGATACCAACCAACAAAGTAGCTATGCGTTGCCAGATGTAAAAAATTGTTACTAAAAATTTTTCTTGCAAAAAATAAATAAAAACTCAATAAATACAAAAGTTTTATGCCCTTAAAGCTCTAATACCCTTCTGTATTTATTTACTCATCCAGCTATTAGCTTAAGCAATGATTAGAAAATTTAGTACCTTTGAAATTTGAAATCCATAACCACAAAATTAATTTTTTCATCAGTTTTTTTTCTCTGTTTACTCAGATGAAATTGGGACCAGTTCACAGGTTAAACTTTAAACATTTAATTTGTGTAAATAAATCCAAAAGCACTTCCCTTAGTTAAGATATTTACAATTTGAAAATATAACCTAAAATTTAAAAGAAATGCACTAGATTCTGTTATAAAAGTTGGCAGATTTTGTTTGAATTTACCTTCAGTACAAAAATGAAATAACCAACAATTAATAAAAACGCCAAATTGACAATTTGCATTGTTAATTTTGTCATTTTTGTAATTAAGCTAAATTTAAACAATGTTTGTCAACTTTTTTGAGAGATTTTGGAAACAATGTTGTTACCAACCATAACATAATAAATCCACCAGATTAACCTAAAGTTCCTAGTCGATCAGTGGCGTACTTTTTGGTAGGATAAAGGTTATTATAAATTATTTTTAGACTTTGGAATTTAGAAAAAAAAAGTTTCAGGTGCTTCTTTATGGACCCTAAGAAACAACCCATTTTAATATATAACATTAATTACATAACACCCTGTATATATATATATATATATATATATATATATATATTGTGTCTCCGCAAGTTTTTATTTATGCATCAACAATTGTACAGTTTACAGATGTCATTTTTGACACCTGTCACCTGTCATTTTTCAAATATGTCACCTGAAGTTATTGTGAAAAGCGATTAATATACGCCAAAGAAGTATCGGGTTTTCGCAACGCGCGCGCCATCTGGTGGACTTCGAATGCATTTCGTGAATTTAAGAATTGTCAACAATAAATTTAAAGCAGCGATTATACATCATTTTTAAATAAATAGGTAGTTTTTTTCACAAAAGAGAGGAAGGCAGAAGTCTTACTCGACAAATTTTGTTCAATTGCACAGCTAAATCGCGCAGGTTATTTGTGTTTTACGTTGCAAGGAAAAAATTAAAAAACTTTTTTAGTACTCGATTTCGATTGATTATTCCTTAAATCATTGATTAAGAAACTCAACGCTTAAATGCTTATATAGTTACGTTAGTGTGTGTATTTCATCAAAGGGATTATGGTGAATTATTGTGTTTTTAATTGTAAATAAAATTCAAGAACTAAATCGTTGCATTTTCATGTTTTGCCAAAGGATCCAATTCGGTGAGTACATTTGTTGGTGCAAAATTAACTAATGATAACTTTACCTAATCTATATTTAAGTTTGGACATTTTTAAGAAATTAGTAAAAAATAATTTTTGCATAACATAACCTTAAAATCAATCATTTTTATATTTGAATTCTCTAAAAAACGCCGACAACTGCATTTTAAACAACAAAATATACCTACGAATTCATGGCATTTTACCGTTGAGTGGAGACTTTCTTAATCAAAGCTTTTAATAATGCTAAATACTGTTTAAATTTAGACGACTTATTTGTTTGACGATTTTTACTGAATTGAAATGTTTACTCTTTTCACGTTAATCACTACTTAAATGTGTATTTATTGTATCTAATAGGTACAATTTATATTTACAGAGACTGTATGCAATTTATTTCTTCATTCAGATTAACACTGTTTATTGAAAAACCGGTAAAAACTCAACCCAGGATTTCCTCTTGAAATCCACCCGACAACACAACAAATCGATCCACGGTTTTTTTTTCGATATTTTTTAACATTTTCCGGCTTTATTCTCAAAAACACTTTTATGTAACCTAAGCGTTTGACAGCTGATTATTAGAAGATATATCGCATTAAATTTAAAATAATTTAATAGATGACTGTATTAATCGAATGCACTTGAAACTGGGTTAAGGCAGTAAACCTTCACTAGGAAAACCGCGACAAATTTCTACACTAACCCAATTCCATTCGAATAAACACAAACAATTAATTAAACATTATAGCCCAGGCTAATGACAATCCCAGCGTAACTAAACGCAGAATTAATTTGCTCGAGGTATACCTCTGTATGTAAACACTAAGCGATTTTCCTTTGCCGTGTTTGTTTTGCTATCAGTTGAATTTATTGTTTTGAGTGAGTGTGAATGTGAGAGGAAGGGTCTGTCAGATTAATTAGCACCCCGTAAGGGAACTACGGCTACAAAAACCCCTGGAGAGGCCGAAACACTGACAGCCACTAAATCTTGCGAGTGATAGCCTCGGAGGTGCTAAGTGGAAGTTTGATGGATCGATTTAATTAAAAAATTGAGGAAAAAAACTGTAAATAATAACGGGCTTAATATACCTAATACAAAATTTCTTTCAAAGAAGTAAAAATTACATTAAAACCAAACATTCAGAATATACAGCTTTACTAGATATTCCAGCTTTACTGTTTTAAGAATTCCAGCTTACATTACATATGGGTGATTCTACAAAAGTTGGATAACTTGATGTCATCAGACAATAGAGTAGGTACTCTCTAAAAATGAAATAGTCAAAATTCTACTATTTGAATTAGTACCAGCATTTTTTACTAATAAAATAGTCGTTTTCACTTTTAAATAGTTATTTTTTACTACGTAAATAGTTAAAGTTTGACTAATTTAAGATTAGTCACCATATTTTACTATTTCTGACAGTTAAAAGTTACTAATTTCTTTAATCGTTTACGGCCAACAACAAAGTATTATTTGAATTAAATGCATATACCTCTCCATGGTTAAATGACCCATAAAACAAATAAAGATGCAAAAAGTTTAGCTCAAAACAGTAACACAAATAATATATTAAACTTTAAAATATTATGAACACTATTTATTGACAAATAAAATTTATTTTTATAAGAGCAGCTGACAGCCGACTGGTTATGAGGTTAGGTTGACAAGCTTCTCAAGTGACAGACGTGAGTTCAATCCCAGGCTGGGCCAAAACTTTTTTTAAATTTAAATTTATCAATTTAACTAAACTGCGCACCACTCAATGTGTCGCGATCAAAAAGTTCGTCCTTTTTAAAACGGCACAACTTTTTTGTTTCTTAAACGATTTTGTTTTGGTTTGTGATGTCAGCTAACCCCATCCTCTGGCAATTCATGCTATAGATATTAAGCCCACGGTAAGCCCACGGTTCTTCAAGTAAATTTCCTACAGGGTGATATGTAAAACGGTGAAAAATTTCAATAACTTCATCCAAGACCCGTTTGAAACAAGAAATATTTTTACTTGTTTTTACTTTGAAATAATGAAGAAGTATGTCTTACCTTGAAAAGGGTTTTCAAATTTTTCGAATTGGAATCTTAGCAACGAAAATCTGATTTTTTTTACAAGAGTACATTTAAGGCTTTTTGGTAGGCAATATACTCAGTCTTTTTAAGAACAAGAAAATAAGATAGTGAAAGATTGTTCCTTAAATAATTCTGAACAAGCGACAAGCAACAAACTTCCATTATTTTCAAAGGGGCCTAAGTAAAGACCACTTTTTCAAAATGACATTTTGGTAAAAATTTGCGAAAACTAAACCTGAACCGATATTTACGTTCGTGACATGTTTTCTTTATAATTTTGACCTCCTGATTATGATTCAGTTGTCAAATGTAAGTTTCAGATAAAACCAAAATCACCAAGAATCAAAATTCTAAAACAATTCCCGGCTGTTAAATGTCTAAATAAAATCCAAAAAAAAATCATATCGTCGTTGCTTAGATTCCAATTCAAAAAACTTGAAAAATGTTTCAAGGTAACACATAATACTTCATTATTTCAAAATAAAAACGAGAAAAAAATTATTTTTTTACAAACGGGGCTTGGATGAAGTTATTGAAATTTTTCATTGTTTAACATATCACCCTGTAGAAAATTTACTTGACGAACCGTGAGCTTCATATCTATAGCATGAATTGCCAGAGGATGAGGCTAGCAGACATCACAGACCAAAATAAAATCGTTCAAGGAACAAAAAAGTTATGTCGTTTTGAAAAAGAGCGAACTTTTTGGTCGCGACACATTGAGTGGTGAGCAGTTTATTTCATTCAGTGGAATTTGACTAATTATTAGTGACTGCTTTTTCGCTATGACAATTAGTCAAATATGACTTATAATTAGTTATTTTTGACTAATTCATTTTAAGAGAGTAGGTATTTTAATATTTTTTGTAAATATTTCAGTATATTACAAAATATCCAGATTTTTTTTAACTTGGACACCCAATTTTAATGTATTTTTTCATAAACACGTTTGTAGAAAAAATATATTCAATTTTTCTTAAATTTTTCAATTTCACTACAAACTATAAAACATTAAATAATAGCAATTTTCATATTTTATCATAGATTCGAATAATAGCAATTTTAAAAAAATTGAGAATCTTTGTAGGTACTCACTTTTGCCCGTCAGTTCTGTGTCCAATGTTAAAATTCAAAATTTCTGCGAAATATTGAAGTTTAAACGTCAAGTTCTCGTTTTAACTCAAGTGTTGGTAAAAAATTACCTACAGAGCCCGCCCTTGGCACGACAGTCTTAAAAACAATGCAAGCGGCGAAGTTGTGGTGAATGCACGTATAGTTCCAGTCAAAATTTCAGTACTGTGGAGAGTAGTTATTTTCTTACGTATATATATTTCGTTGTAATTTATATAAGGCTATATGTGATTTGGTGATAAGTAGCATCCACTAATAAAAAATATCGGTAAAATACTTAATTCCGAATTACGAGGGTGGTTCAAATATAAACCGGAATTTTGCTATAACATTTTTTATTATTAAGTTACAGAGCTGAAATTTTTTACAATTTTTCTAGATAGTCTCCTTCACACTCTACACACTTTTGCCACCTCTCCGGAAGCTTTCGGATGCCTTGTTTGTAAAATTCTCTCGGCTTGTCACCGTAACCATTCGCGCACGAAGGATTCTACCTCCGCATTGCTTTCGAATCGCAGTCCGCCAAGTGCCTCTTTCAATGGACCGAACAAATACCAGTCGCATGGCGACAAATCGTGACTATAAGAAGGGTGTTCCAGTGTTTCCCAATCCAATTCGTTCAATGTTTTCATCAAACTTCCCAGCGTGTGAATTTCTGCTCAAAATTCAGAAGTCTTGGCACCCATCTGGCTGAAATTTTGCGGTAACCGAGCCGTTTATGAATTATTTGCTCAATACTACCTACGCTGATGCCCAATTCTTCAGCCATATCGCGTACAGTACTGCGTCGGTCTTCCAAAATGAGTTTTTCTACAGCGCTGACGTTCTCATCTGTAACACTTGTTTTGGGGCGCCGCGCATATGGCAAGTGCCACCACTTCTCGGCCTTTTCGGAAAGCGAAACACCATTCATACACTTGAGTCTTGGAGAGGCACTCATCCCCGAACTGCTCAAGTAATTTTTGATAAAATTTCCGCGGATTTTACATTATCTTTGACCAAAATACAAATAATGATGCGTTGCGCAACAGACACTGGTACATCCTTCTCGCTGATGGCTATAACTACACTGAAAAGCGAGGTTACGGAGTCCCGGCTGTTCTTTACGCTTCGTAACAGACCAGTCTAACATCCAGTGCAGCCACTTTTACGACACTAAATTTTTCGCCCGTTTATTCAAAAATTCCGGTTTGTATTTGAACCACCCTCGTATAATCTCAAATTTGTATCCCATTCATCAGTACCGTGTCGTCAGTTCCATGTTCGATGTTTCGATTATCTTTTTTTGCAAACTTCAATTTAAATTCTGCTTGCGCAGAACTTGTTTATTTAATGTCATTATAAACTCATATAAATTTGGCGTGGGTCCCATATCTAATAATTGAGATATCGGTATACCCAAAATCCACCAGCCGCCACTGATGTGTGGTATTATTTGATTAAGATATTTAATGTATAATATGCTCAAAGTTGCAATAAATCTTACATTTTCCAATAAATTATGTATTTAATTAGTTCCCTGGTATACTCCTAACTTCCATTGCATTCAAATTTAGAAAACACAGATATTTCAGAAACTGTTTGAAAAAGCGACTGGCCCGGTTTATATTATCTATGTTCTCATAACAAAATACTGTTTAATTTTCTCCGAAAACTATATAAACAAAATGAGGTCAAAAGTTGTCCAACTTTTGTAGAATAACCCATATATTCTTTTAACATTATTAATGGAAACTGGAAAGTGAAAATTGTTCTATATTTTTTAGGGTTTAGGTTACTAAATTATTCCTTAATTAGCAATAATTGCTCTATATTTTGTGCCTAACTAGCGAACCAATACATTTTATTTGAACTGATATAGTTGATGGGTGCCGTTTAGAACTGCAGTGAAAATTTAGCGTGCGTTGGTTGTCATTGGACACTTTGATTACTAGACTGGTCGTAATTGGTGACCCATTTAAACATTATAAATTAAAACAAATGATATTAAAAGTGTAATTTGTCAGTTTTTTTGTTAAATAACCCCAAATTTTCGTTGGTTTTAATAAGAAATGTATTGTTTGTGTATTATTAATATTATATAACAAATTAAAAACCAGCGTATAATAAAATATCATTAAAATTGATAATTTTTTAAAAACGTCGTATTATTCAAGTTTTCCATTGCAAATGAAAATATTCATTTTTAGCAACGTCATACGAAATGTGACTTTTACATGGCATTAAATTTGATTCATACAAAATGTTACCAAATTGTTTATATTTTATATCATACATCAAAATGCGTTTAAATGCATAAAATCGACATTAAATATTTTATTTAATTTAATTTTACCTAATTGATTTTCATCGAGTTTCCTATATTGACAGTTAAATATATAACTCTATAAAATATGATTTGAATTTATTTCGTTGAATTTTTAAAATAAATAATTTATTGATTTTAACATTTTTAGTAAATCAATCGGAAAGCAAATAAAATATATTTTCATTGTTAAACCAATAATTGCAAAATATAATAAAAATGAAACCTTCTTAAATTAATTTACAATACCTACCTATATATATATATATATATATATATATATATTAGGGTGGCCCAAAAAAATAATATTTTTTTCTTCTCGTCTCTTGTGAAAATATGTTGGTTTGTCATGTTTTAAGAGCCCTTTCAAAACATCAGCTCGATTAAAAATTTTGTAGGGGTCGCTCAAGATTTTTAAAAAATTTCAAAATCGTCAAAAATTGAATTTTTGTTTTATTTTAATTCTTTTTCTCGTCTCGATATTATTTTTTAGGTTGTAAATAATAAAAATTCTGTAAATTTCAAATCAATATTTTGATTTCTAAAGGTCGCTAAAAGTTCGTTGATATTTAAATTCAGAGGTCGCTCGAAAACATTCAAAATACTCTACTTTGAAAGTTAAAAAAATCTTGAGCGACCTTTAGAAATTAGAATATCGATTTGAAATTTTCAGAATCATTATTATTTTTAAATAAAAAAATAATATCGGAACGAGAAAAAAAATAAAATAAAAAAAAATCCAATTTTTGACGATTTTGGTAATTTTTAAAAATCTTGAGCGACTCCTAAAAAATTTTTAATGGTGCTGATCTTTTGACAGGGCTCTTAAAACATGACAAACCAACATATTTTCACAAGAGACGAGAATATTCTTTTTTTTTGGGCCACCCTAATATATTATATATATATATATATATATATATATATATATTAGAGTGTCTAAAACAAAAAAACAATTATTTTTTTTTCTAATGGTGTTAAAAAATTAATAGTACATTAAAAACAAAAATGTTGGGGCCTATTTGAGCCCTTAATATTAATATTAAGGTTTGCCTCAATTCATTTGTTGTTTTTCCATTTCAATAACACGGGAATTTTTATTTTTTAATTTTGAATTCTTTTAACTTTGGAATGGTTTGTTTTTGCAACACCCAAGCGAGAGGAGTTATAGACAATTTCTCGCTTTACAAAAAACATCTAAAGGTCAAAGTTCTTCAGATTAACCGTTTCAAAGATATCAGCGATCAAAAATAACACTAATAAAAAATTTCAAATATTTTCAAATAAAATACAAAAAAATATCATATGCCATTTTTATATTATTTTTTATGTAAAATCACTTTAATTCTGTTAACCCGAGACTGTAGTTTTTTTTTTTGATTTATATATTTATGTATATGATTGTATATTGATTATTAATCTGTATTAGGGCCACCAATTTTCCCTAAAAAAAGAATGTCTCAAGTTAAAACTAACCCAAAAACTAAAACACTGACAGTGATAATGTCAACCATATAATTAAGGTCATTTTACATTACGATTTTATATAGAATTTCTAATATTAAGTTGCACATTATAGTACTCCCACCTCTTATCATTCTGCTAAAACAGCAGAGACCTTAAAACCCCTTGACTTTTGAGACACCCTGTATATAATATACATAAATTAAGTTAACTATTTTTTGTATTTTATTAAATGTTCAACCTCGCAGTAAAAATAGTGTGGATGGATATTTTGTGGTATATTTCCCCTAATCTTAACTCTAAGCCTAAGAACAAAAATTACAACAAAATTATAACCCTTTTTTAGTTATTAAATATAGTACGAACCTCTTCACCGTAGACCAGGTAGAGCAAATCAAAAGGCAACGCTGCTAGAAAGTCCACGACAAACCACGTGCGGAGATAATTAATGGCTATCGCTTTACCATGCGAAACTACTTCACCCTTTCCGTTGACGTACGTCGTACGAAAATTTATCACTATATCTGAAACAAAAGAAGTTTAATGCCAAAAGCTTAGCAAAACATAGATATAGCTGTCCTAAGAGTTTCAGAGCTACAAGAAAGTTTTTCCTCTATTATTTTTGCATAAGAGCTACTGTTTTTTAATAAAAAAATTATGAAATTGTCTAATTTTCAAAAATGCATTTTTTCCCCAAAACTTTATCTATATAATAAAATAAATGCAATTTAACGATTTTAAGGTATTATATTCTCAATTTATTCAAATTTTAATATATCAATTAGATCGATAAATTAGAATATGATAATTATAGACTTACTATATAGTCAGTTTACTAGATGCTAAAGTCTATTCAAATCCAAGATGGACTAAAACAAAACACTCCAGACGCGCGAATGAACACAGAATTTGTAAAATATTTAAACGCCAGAGAGAAAATTAATAAATAATTTTTTACAATATTTTTAAAATCATTGAATGTTAACTGTATTAATCATTAATCCTAGTCATTATAATCGTAGTTTAAGTCTATAAATTAATACCTTAAAATCGTTGAATTGCATTTATTTTATTATATAAATACTGCAAAAGTAAATGATATCATAATGATAAACAAAGTTTGTGAAAAAAACAAAAATTTAATTTTTAAAAATTAGAAATTTTTTTTTCAATTAAATAAAAAAAAATAGAAAAAAAATCGGCCCACTCTGGGAATAATTGTAACATTAATTAAAGGTTTTTTGAGAAAAAAAAAATAAAAAATAAAAAATGGCAAACTTCGCAAAAATTTTATTTAAAAAAGCGATAATTTCATAGAGTTGATAATGGGTCATTCCACGTTACTCGGGGATTTTTGTCCCGCCCGTCACAATTAAAAATTGTGAGTAAAAACTACACGTTATAAAATTTATTTTAAAATATTGTTTTTATATGCTTTTAATAAGTTATAAGCACAATAAAAATAATATTATAAAATATTAATTTAATATCTTGTGGCTTTTACTCACAATTTTTAATTGTGACGGGCGGGACAAAAATTACCGAGTAACGTGGAATGCCCCTAATGTTAAATTTTTTTGTCTATTTTTTTCGAAAAATCATTTAAAAAAAAATTAAAAAAAGTAAATTTTTGAAAAATTATGGCTATTTGATATTAAAAAAACCTATTTTTTTGAAAAATTTAAAACTTTTTTGGGGTTGGATAAAAAAATTTTAAAAAATTTTCAAAAATGTTTTTTAAAGGGTAGAAAAAAATGGAAAACTTTTGGCCAGATCGAAAGAGGTCGGGTTTAAAAGTGGTCGATTTGGCATGGAATACCCCATATATACATATGACTTTGGGAATCTTTACAGCTTAAACACAAAAAAGCGCACTAAAATAACAAAGCTTTTCCTCATTTAATATATTTTTAGTAACCATCCCTAAAACAGTTCTCCCCGTGTAGTATATAAATGGAGAAAATTTCATAATTTGGTGTATAGGTATTTTTCATAATTTGGTGTATATTAAGCCCAGAGGCAAAAAATCTTTGGGGTTGGAAGCTTAATACAAGCTTATATAAATCATGAGGTTTTAATAAAATTCTTTTAAAACGTTTGTCCATATTTTTAAATGTTAAATGCGTTAATTTAAAAGAATAAGTTTGACCTTTTTAAAACACTTGAAGCATTTAAAACTGTAATATTAGTTACCCAACTTAAAATAATTAGTATAAAAATTACATTTTTCTATACAAGATAAGGTTTTAGCATATAACCTTTATTTTTAATATTTATATTATTATTTTCCATTTTGAAATAAACACATTTTCTATTTTATTGTAAATTTTAAAACGAAGGTAAAAAGAAACAAAAATAGTTTTTTTCTTAAATATCAAGAAAGGTATTTGTATCGCATGTAACATGTTTACGATTTTCATATTATCACACAAAATAAAGTAAAATATTTTCATGCACATACATATATTTACGAGTTTCGTTCTTAAGCTTTAGCGAAATTGAATCAGAATAATACACGAAAATATATCGTGCATTTTTATTATTTTTGACAGAAAGGTATAAACAGAAACCGGACTTTGTAATTTTAAAAGTTTTGATGTATTGTCAAGCCTTAACATATAAAAAAAAACATTTTGTATTTCCAACATTTTCGCTACTTATTTGAATGCTAAAAAGTATATAAACTTTGCAAACATTTCTCCATAAACACAAAAGTACAAAATCTAATCAATTTTGTTAAATAAAGATAAAATAAAACGACTTTGTTTATAATTAGCAGAACCTAAATTTGAATATTCCGAAACGTTAACCAAATTTCGTATCTTTCGCATTAAATTTCACCTGGGCGTTGCTTCTTTCAAAGAAAACTGTTTCCTAAGAGCCCTATTTAGATTAATTAGGTTATGTTTGAGGAAAAACCGTTTTTCTCGAACCGACTTGTTTTTCCCTACAGCTAATTTAAGAGGGTCGATAAGATTACTACAGAGAAAATTTTATGTATAAAATCTTATAAATAAACTAGATATTATTAAATCCTTCGGCCTATTCATTTTTTCTTAAATCTAAATATTGTTTAATAGAACTAATTAAATAGGTCATTTATACACAGAGGACAGTTATGGGAATTATTACTAAATACTTCAGTAAAATGGGACATGAGTAAGCTTTTTTGTGTTTGGTAATGATTCCCAAATTCATATAATTACGTGTGTATTGGCAACTATTTCTTTACTGGAATGTACTAATTACAAAACTAACTCAAACAAATTAAGAACTTTATAAATATGTCTTCTACGCATGTTGTTATTTCGGAATGCCAATGTAAAAACAGAAATTTCTAGTAATAACATAACATAAGTGGTTCTGCACAAATGCAAGAATTTTAAGAAATCATACATTTTAAATGTTAGAGCTTCACGGAGGTTAGGATTTCTTTTTTTTTAAACATCCCTTTGTATATTTGAAATAAGTTATTGTATCTTTTGACACCTTAATATTTTATAAAAATACAATTGAACATACATAAAATATTTATAAAAAAAATCTACTTACTGAGATATTACAATTCACGGTGGATAGGTTTTTAAATAGCAAATTAATGAACTTAAACTTTTGAATTATAAAACAGCAACACTCTCATCTGCATATAAATTCCAATTGACCTTCAGGAATCACATGCATCTATATATAATGTCGTAAACAGAGGTTTTTGCTTATTTAAAATGATTAAAGCGCCATTCGTTGCATAAAATTTAAAGCAAAAACAGATTCACGGAGGATAGAATCAATTTTTGTAAAAATTATTTCTTTTAATTTTTAATAATATTTTATATTATATTCGATTGCTTTGGATGTGTTTAATTTACTTAATGAACTGATATTTTTAGTATGCTCTTACTACCTCAGATATTTGAAAACATATAGGTTAACCCAGAAAGAGTCACTGAGGATAGGTTTTAGACTTTTAAAACATTGTAAAAAATAATTAATTGCGGTTAAAAATCTGGAACCTGAGCTGTAATATCTACTTAATTATGAAAGATCCAAACACAATAAAAGTGTAGGTCAAAATCATTTTAGATTCACCCACCTATAGGTATTAATAATTAGCTTTAAGGTTGAGTTTTGTTTTTATTACACGTGCATAAGGCAATAGTTTGGAAAATGAAAGAGGAAACCCTTTCTTGTTTTGGCGTGTACTATCATCCCTAAAGGATGACAATTTATTGGGGTTGTGAGGTGCCATAAAAAAATATTTATATTTTACTTACCGACAAAAAACAAGGCTTCCACAACGACGTCCACGTTGGCTGAGGGCCGTTCATTGTCCAAAAAACACGCGTAATACGGCACCACTACAGCCACGTAAAAAGTTGCTATTAAAATTAACCAGTCCCAAGCACCTTTGAACATTCCATAGTGCGAAATTATTAAGCTACTTTTTTCCACTGTTGCAGTCTTGTATTCCGGCAGGGGGGCAGGGGTAGAACCCAAGAGATTCTATAAAAAAATAAAAAAATTTGAACCAAACAATGTTACTATTAGTTTAATTTTATTTCAATGTTTTTTCATGGATGACTTGACAGAATAAATTTTCGTGGTTATAATTGTACATTTATCGACTTAAAATTTTTCAATAAAATATATATATTGGTATTAGTATATTAGGGTGTTTCAAAAAAATCGACTTTTTCTTTTTCTTCAAATGGTCAGAAAATTCTTTCAGAGGATGTCAAAACAAAGACCTCGTTAAAATTTGAGCTTTTAATTTGAAGATTTAGAGGTCGCGGATCGCAATTTTCTATTTCCCATTTAAATAACATGGGAAATTTTTTTTTTAACTTTGGAATTTTATACGTCTATATCGAATCAACTTATGGCAAGAAACATCTTAGATTTTTATAGTAAATTTAACGCTCTATAAAAAATGTCTCTTATAATTTTTCTATAAATTGAGTTCTTCCAGAGTTATTCGAGGCCAAAGTTTGATTTCCATCGAATTTTCTCGTTTTTTCAACTTTTAGCATCATGTAGTAAAAAAATCACATATTTATATCTGAAACATAGGAAGTGTTGTAAAAAAACAAAAAAAACAAAAAAACCTCACTTTTTTCCAAAGCCTACTACAAAGTTTTAATGAAAATATGAGATGTGTATAATATGCAGAGTAATTTATATATAAATGCATTTTTCTCGAAAATGGTGCATCTGAGCAATTCAAATCAAGAGTACCTATTTTTCGTAAAAAACTATAAATTCTCATAATTTCATAAAAAAAAAAATTATTAACCCAGAAAAAAGTTGGGGCTATTTTTGTAACTTTGCCCCCTCCAAATGTTACGCCTATGATTAAATTTTAACAGTTTTGATCATAGATCTAGATTCAGCATGTAAAAATTACCAAAGTACCGAAAATTCATTTGTTCATGTTCAACCCTCTAGGAATAGTTTTAAAAAAATTATCCTCTTAGGCTCCTATTCAGGGGGCCGTAGCTCCTTTAGCATTTTTTGATACATGTTTATTAAACAAAAAAGTGTTATTTTTATACGAATAATGCACTGTTTAAGTTTGGCCCCCTAATTTTGGGACACCCGTATAATAAATAATAATTGTACCAAAAATGTTAAAAAAACGCGAAAATTCGATGGAAATCAAACTTTGGCCTCGAATAACTCTGGAAGGAATCAATTTATAGAAATATGTTAGGAGACCTTTTTTGTAGAGCGTTAAATTTACTATGAAAATCTAAGATGATCCTTGACATAAGTTGATTCGATTCAGACGTATAAAATTGCAAAGTAAAAAAAAAAATTCCAATGTTATTTAAATGGGAAATAGAAAATTGCGATCCGAGACCTCTAAATCTTCAAATTAAAAGCTAAAATTTTGACGAGGTCTTTGTGTTGACATCCTCTGAAAGAATTTGCCGACCATTTGAAGAAAAAGAAAAAGTCGATTTTTTTGAAACACCCTAATATATATATTAGGTTGTTTAAAAAAAAAAAAAATTATTTTTTTTCTAATGGTTTTGAAAAATTAATAGTATATTAAAAAACAAAAATTTTGGCGCATATTTGAGCCCTTAATATTAATATTAAGGTTTGCCTCATTCATATGATATTTTTTTGTATTTTATTTGAAAATATTTGACATTTTTTATTAGTGTTATTTTTGAAACGGTTGACCTGAAGAACTTTGACCTTCAGATGTTTTTTGTAGAGCGTGAAATTGTCTATAACTCCTCTCGCTTGGGTGTTGCGAAAACAAACCATTCCAAAGTTATAAGAATATAAAATTTAAAAAATAAAAATTCCCGTGTTATTGAAGTGGAAAAACAAAAAATGAATTGAGGCAAACCTTAATATTAATATTAAGAGCTCAAATATGCGCCAAAATTTTTGTTTTTTAATGTACTATTAATTTTTCAAAACCATTAGAAAAAAAATAATTTTAGTTTTTTTTTGAAACACCCTAATATGTATATACAGGGTGTCCGGGAAAAGGAGGTCAATCCGTTAACCATATATTCCTTGAGATAAAACAATAAGACTTTCCTAATACCATTTTTCAATTTAGAGCTCCATGTTCGATATACAGGGCGAAAAAGTTTGAAATTTAAAACTGATTTTTTTTAATAACTCGAGTAATTGATAAGATACTAAGTTAAAATTCGGTACACTACTTCAACATAAATAGTTACATTTTTTGAGACCAACAAAACAAAAAACAATTCTCAAATAATCAAAATAGGGGGGTCCAGTACTCACTGACTCCCCCTATTTTTTAGTACGTGCGCCAATGACTTCCAAAGGGTATTTTTTCAGGTAATCATTTATTGTTAAAAAAATTTTGTCTCTTATAAAATTTTGATAAAATGATTTGTTTTAGAGATAATTTGTAAAGTATGGGTCAGTCCATATCAAATCAACCAAAGGTTCTTCCCCCACCATCTCCGATTTTGATCATTTTTGGTAAATTTGTTTACCTCACTAAAAAACTAAAAAATCCCATATATGAACTTTTTTCGATAGGTGGTTTATATATTTATTATATTTTTTTGCTTTATCAAATAAATTATTTTTGTTAGTGAAACAGGAGTGTTTATTTGATCCACGAGACAATTAAAACAAAACATTGGTAATATCAAATTTCAATTTTAACATTATAATTATATTTATAATTAAATTAACTATTTAATATGAATTGCAATTATATATAAAACAAAATTTTACCCGTTATATAATTATAATTAAAAAAACATAAAGATAAAAACTTGCATTTCATTTCATTGACATTTAAGAAAGAAAAACTTTTTTAATTGGCGTAAAATTACACAAAAAACGATTTTTTTCTTGAATAAAAATCCAAACAAATTACCATCTGGCTAAAAATGTAACGCAGCGACTCGTAGCAAAGTATACAGATAAATCAAACTTGATTTACTTACTGTTTCGTATCTTCGCCAGTTTTTTTTTAACTGAAAACTTGATAAATTTTCTCTCGTAAAGGATTCATAATTTAGGTTTTATTGGAGCATGTTTGATATAAAAAATTGGCAAATTGTGTAATAACTAATAACTTAAGTTATTTAAACATCCAGTAAATTCTTTAAAATTTAAAAGTTTTAAAATACTTTCTTTTAACTTAATATTTAATTAAATTTGCTTATCCAAAACTTTTAAATTAACTAAATGTATTTTTCAGTTACGAAAATTATTTGGGCTTCAAATGGTGTATTTGCGTAATACTTTTGCAAAATAAACAGCATCAAAAGTTTTAATGCATTTTAAAGAGCTTTACCAAACGAAAGCTTTTGTTTATGCAATAAGCATTTATTTCTGTTATTTTATCCAGTATGACATAATTTAAAATCCACAGTTTAAAAAATGGAGTATAAAGTACAAATTTTCTCACTATAAAAAATTTTGGTCCTTATTATTGAAGGGACAAAAGAATTCCTGAAAGAACTACAGAATTGGCCATCTGATCTGTTTTTTTTAGGTTTTGATAATATTTTCAATAATTAAAAGTATACTCTCTTAAAATGAATTAGTCAAAAATAACTAATTATAAGTCATATTTGACTAATTGTCATAGCGAAAAAGCAGTCACTAATAATTAGTCAAATTCCACTGAATGAAATAGTTAAATTAGTAAATTTAAATTTAAAAAAAGTTTTGACCCAGCCTGGGATTGAACTCACGTCTGTCACTTGAGAAGCTTGTCAACCTAACCTCATAACCAGTCGGCTGTCAGCCGCTCTTATAAAAATAAATTTTATTTGTCAATAAATATTGTTCATAATATTTAAGTTTAATATATTATTTGTGTTACTGTTTTGAGCTAAACTTTTTGCATCTTTATTTGTTTTATGGGTCATTTAACCATGGAGAGGTATATACATTTAATTCAAATAATACTTTGTTGTTGGCGATTAAAGAAATTAGTTACTTTTAACTGTCAGAAATAGTCAAATATGGTGACTAATCTTAAATTAGTCAAACTTTAACTATTTATGTAGTAAAAAATAACTATATTTAAAAGTGAAAACGACTATTTTATTAGTAAAAAATGCTGGTACTAATTCAAATAGTAGAATTTTGACTATTTCATTTTTAGAGAGTACCCTACAGTCTGTATCAGCCAAATGGAATAAATTTGATAATACCTAAATGAAGGTGTGTTTTAAAAAAACGCTCAGACATATCAATTGGTATTTTTAGTTGCGAATTTTTTTCAACAAAAATTTTTTGTACAGGTCTATCATGTGGCAGTGGCCAATATCAACTTTCTTATTTCAAATGCAACACCCTGTAAATTATTAAATTTTTGGATTCTTAAGAAAATTGAAGACATATTTTATGTACAGTTACGGAAAATAGTAATGTCCATTTGAATGCTCCATTGTAATTTTTCGGAGACATTCGGGTTTTGGTAAAAAAATCAACATATTTATTTTTAAATTAATAATTCTACCTACATGCTATTTATCATTCTTTTTACGCACATTTTATTTGACTTTTAAGTTTTTATGCAATAATCAAACCATTTAAATATTTAAGGAATAAAATTAATTCTAAATATTTGAAATATAATATATTTTCTATAATTTATTTAATAAACTACATGTTATATTAGTTTATTGGTTGTTATTAATAAAATAATATATTTAAATGAAATATAATACTAAAATAATTACAAACTTTTGCATAATTTTGCAAATAAAGTTGTTAATAAACCTTTTTATGTGAATTTTTGTTACCTGGGCAATTTGAATTAAAATATTTATTCTTACTAATTAAATTAAAGCCATTAAAATTTTGGGCTTATAATAAGAAATTTACTTTTAATACGTGTATAAACATTTTAGTTTTTAATATTTGTAGAGCAAATATGCAAAAACCTATTTTTACATTAAGAGGATAGAACCGATTCTTACTAATTTTGGTAAACTTTTTTAACTTAACACAGAATTTTAATTAAAAACCGAAACAGAGAC